AATGAGGGCGGTTGATGACCACCACAACAACGACCAACAGACAGTCCGCTTCTCCCTCTACAGGTCACCGGTTACTGACTACAAATACTTCACTATAGACGAGTACGGTGGCAACATTACCACTGCCAGGTTAGTGAGTACATGTACTACTGTTGTACTACTGTTGTATTGCACTACTGTTGTACTACACTACTGTTGTACTACTGTTGTACTGCACTACTGTTGTACTACTGTTGTACTATACTACTGGTGAAATACTGTTGTACTACACTACAACAGCACTACTGTTGTACTACTGTTGTACTGCACTACTGTTGTACTACTGTTGTACTATACTACTGGTGAAATACTGTTGTACTACACTACTGTTGTACTATACTACTGGTGAAATACTGTTGTACTACTTTCTAGCACTACTGTTGTACTACTGTTGTACTGCACTACTGTTTATACTACTGTTGTACTTCACTACTGTTGTACTACTGTTGTGCACTACTGTTATTACTACTGTTGTCTATACTACTGGTGAAATACTGTTGTACTACTACTACAGCACTACTGTTGTACTACTGTTGTACTACCTGTTATACTACTGTTGTACTACTGTTGTACTACACTACTGTTGTACTACTGTTGTACTACACTACTGTTGTACTACTGTTGTACTACACTACTGTTGTACTACTGTTGTACTACACTACTGTGTACTATATTGTACTACTGTTGTACTACACTACTGTTGTGCTACTGTTGTATACTGTTGTACTACACTACTGTGTGCTACTGTTGTACTACACTACTGTTGTACTACTGTTGTACTACTGTTGTACTACACTGTTGTACTACTGTTGTACTACACTACTGTTGTTACTACTGTTGTACTACTGTTATACTACTGTACTACTATTTATTACTACTGTTGTACTACTATTTATACTACTGTTGCCTACTGTTGAACTACACTACTGTTGTACTTACTGTTGTACTGCACTACTGTTGTACTACTGTTGTACTACACTACTGTTGTGCTGCACTACTGTTGTACTACTGTTGTACTACACTACTGTTGTACTACTGTTGTACTACACTACTGTTGTACTGCACTACTGTTGTACTGCACTACTGTTGTACTACACTACTGTTGTACTATTGTTGTACTACTGTTGTACTACACTACTGTTGTACTACTGTTGTACTGCACTACTGTTGTACTACTGTTGTACTACACTACTGTTTATACTACTGTTGTGCCACTGTTGTACTACTATATTTATACTACTGTTGATACTGTTTTACTACACTACTGTTTATACTACTGTTTATACTACTGTTACTACACTACTGTTGTACTACTGTACTACTGTTATACCTTTAACTATTTGTACTACTGTTGTGCCACTGTTGTACTACACTACTGTTGTACTACTGTTGTACTACTGTTGTACCTACACTACTGTTACTACTGTTACTACTGTTGTACAACACTACTGTTGTACTACTGTTGTACTACTTTTCTGTTGTACTACTGTTGTACAGCACTACTGTTGTACTACTGTTGTACTGCTTTACTGTTAGCCACTACTGTTGTACTGCACTACTGTTATTACTACTGTTGTACTACTGTTGTACTACTGTATACTGCACTACTGTTGACTACTATTTGTACTACTGTTGCTACTACACACTGTTGTATACTGTTGTACTACTGTTGTACTACACTACTATTGTACTACTGTTGTACTACTGTTGTACTACTATTCTACTACTGTTATACTACTGTTGTACTACTGTTACTGCACTACTGTTGTTGTACTACTGTTGTACTCTTTGCACTACTGTTGTACTACTGTTGCTTACTGTTATACTATTTTGCTCACTACTGTTGTACTACTGTTGTACACTACTATTTGTACTACTGTTGTACCTACTACTGTTGTACTACTGTTGTACTACTGTTATACTGTTAATACTACTGTTGTACTACTGTTACTGCACTACTGTTGTACTACTGTTGTACTACTGTTGTACAACACTACTGTTGTACTACTGTTGTACAGCACTACTGTTGTACTCTGTTGTTACAGCACTCTACTGTTATCTACTGTTGTACAGCACTACTTCTCTGTTTCTCCTCTCTGTGTCTCTCTCTATCTCTCTCTTTCTATCTCTGTGTCTCTGTCTCTCTGTTTATCTCTCTCTCTCTCTGTCTGTCTGTCTGTCTGTCTCTCTGTCTCTCTGTCTCTCTCATGGACGGTAATCACCCCTGGTACCTTGAGCGGTTGGTCGGGGAGCAGTACAGGGTGATAGTGGTGGCTATGATGTCTGGTAACGCTAATAACACCGAACTGACCATCTTTGTCACCCATTATAACCAGTACGACCCCAGGCTGTCTCTACAACACTACAGGTAGGTCGTACTGCAGGTAGGTGTAGGTCGTGCAGGTAGGTGTAGGTCGTGGTAGGTGTGGTCGTGCTGGTAGGTGTAGGTCGTACAGGTAGGTGTAGGTCGTGCAGGTAGGTGGAGGTTGTAGGACAGTACTTGAGTGGGAGGACAGTATTTGGTGGGAGGACTGTATTTGAGGTTGTGGGGCAGTACTTGAGGTAGGAGGACAGTACTTGAGGTTGTAGGGCAGTACTTGAGGTAGGAGGACAGTACTTGAGGTAGGAGGACAGTATTTGAGGTAGGAGGACAGTACTTGAGTCAGTAGGACAGTGTCTTAAGCGAGTGTTTTAACGTGTTTATCTTTTGCAGCGCGGAGGTGTTGGTCGGCTCTAAGGTGGGGGCCCCGCTGGTGTCGGTGGAGGGAGCCGACGATGACGCAGTTCACTACAACCGGCGACTACGATACTTCCTCGCCGACCCTAATGTGCACTTTTACCTTGATCCCTTCCTTGAACCTCCGTGAGTACCTTGAACCCTTCATTGAACCTGCACCACCTGTAGCCCTCCACACGAGCAACATCTGTGGACGGGTGCCGGCCTCTCGAGTCACCTCAGAGCTCACCAACGAAGGTGACATCCTAAATAACTCATATCATTGTATCGCAGCTGAATGATCGTCATACTCGATTCTGAGTGACAGCAAAGTAGTAGTAGTAGATGACTCGCCTCGTACACTATTACACTCATGACAGCTCCCTGGGTCCAATTACTCTCCACATACTTTCAATAATGCGTCATCTATTTTGCTAGAGAACACACGCAAGGAATAAGTACAAGGAAGATGTAGCCGCAATGAAGAGCAGACAGACGATGTGGTAGAACGAGACACTGGACTATCTCCTACGTGAGGCAAGAACAATGCAGCAGACTAAAATTTACAGGAGACGGAAAACAAGTCACAGAGGATGCTGCCAGAAGGTTTGGTAACAAGATGCGTGAGGGAGAAGTGTCCTAGGCTGTAAGATCTCTCACACAGGAATCCTCCGGTAGTGTGCTGCTGATAAACAAGAGAAACCTTACAACAACTGAATGAAAAACATCCCCCTGCAAATGAAGAGGAAGGCATCAGGTTCCCGGGTGACTATGTCCCTCCAAACGCTGTCCTGTTCGAGAAAATAACAGGAGAGATGGTGTGGAAAAAAGCACCGAAGACACAAGGAAGTGCAGGCCCTTCAGGTCTGGCTGCAGACGGGCTGAGAAGCATCCTCAGCACTAACAAGTTTGGCGACGCTGCGTGATCTCTGCAAGGCCACCTCCGCCCTTGCAAGAAAGCTAGCAACCTCATGCTGCCACCAGCTCCATGCTCTGACGGCCTGCCGCCTCATTCCCCTGAACAAAAATCCAGGATGTAGACCTATAAGGGTGGGGGAAGTGCTGAGACGGATCTTTGGAAAATACATAAAGGAGGTGGTAATTTTTTTTTTTTTTTTTACGGGACTAGCCCACCAGGGAGGAGGTCAAGGATCCACGTCAGGGACTGGGAGCGAAAATATAATAATAATAATAATAATAATGATAATAATAATTAATAATTAATAATAATTAATAATAATTAATAATAATTAATTAATAATAATAATAATAATAATAATAATAATAATAATAATAATAATAATATAATTATATATTTTTTTAAATATTAAATAAAAATATAATACTGTATAATATAATAATGATAATAATAATAAAGAACCATAAACAAAAAATCAATAGTGAAAACAATATATGTATGTTGTGTTGTCAAAGTAAGAGAAACAATTGAGACCCTGCAATTGTGTGTGAATGAGGCAGAAAGTCAGATCATCAACCTGGAACTTGGTCACAATATTTTTGATGCCATATGGCAGCAGGGTCTACCATTAGACAATACGTTATGCTTCCAATGTCTTCCCAGGCGGTAGTACCTCCCTGTTTATTAGCTGCCTACTACCTATTACCTACTGTCAGGGCAGCTGCAGGGAACCTGCAAGTACTGTATGTGCTGGCCACCAGGCTGGGGGTGAAGCTACCATTCACGCCATGAGAAAGATAATTGAGCAGCGTGATTGTGAGGCAGTACTCCTGGTTGACGCTTCCAACGCATTCAACATAATCAACCGCAAGGCTACATTGCACAACCGCAAGGCCGCACTGCACAACATCAAGTGTCCAAGCTTTGCATTGTATGTTGAAAACACCTACAGGAACCCATGAGACCTCTATATAACAAGCTTCAAGGCCCAAAGAGGAGATACCACCATATAGTCAACCGAGGAAACTATGCAGGGGGACCCGGTCGCCATGGTAATGTATGCGATAGGTCTATCCGGGCTCTAACACACAATAAACTATGAAACCACCACAGGCAAGCAAGTGGCGCATGATGACGACCTTACAGGAGCAGGAAAAGTGGAGGACATCGAAAGGTGGTGGGACCTGGTAACATCACGTGGTCCACAAATAGGGTACCACCCAAACGCCAGCAAGTCCTTCCTCATTGTGAAGTTTGAATGCCTTGACCGAGCTATAGAGGTGTTCGGCGGAAGTGAGGTCAAAATAACAAATTACGGCCAAACACATCTAGGTGTGGTAATAGGCACAAACTATTTCAAGGCCGAGTATGTAACGGGAAAGGTAAATGAGTGGGTGAAAGAAACTCAAGCTCTGTCTGAGATTTCTAAAACAGAGCCACATGAAGCTTTTGCGGCATTTACCCGTGGAGTCAAGCATCTCTGAAACTATCTGATGCACACAATCCCCGATATCGGACCCCTCCTCCACCCTCTGGTAAAAGCCATCAAAGTCGCTTTTATCCCATCATTAGTGGAAAAACCCTTATTTAACCACAGCAAAAAGGTCACTCCTTGCACTACCACCGAGACTGGGAGGAATGGGATTGACTAATCCAGAGGAGCTTTCTGCCACCGAACATCTGAACTCTGTCAAGCTCATGGCAGCCCTCAATGAGTGCATAATTGCTAAGAATGCAACAAGTGAGGTGGATACCAACAAATTAAACAAGATTCGACCTATCCTTACGACAGACCGGCAGCATACCCAAAGTGATAAACTTCAAGAAACGTTGTTACAATTGTCAGTGAATTTGAAAAAAAAAGTAGCTATAACTCAGGAGGTGGGCGCCTCGAACTGGCTATCAACGTTACCGATAAAGGCAAAAGGTATGGTTTCAGCCTTAATAAACAAGAATTTACTCATGCCATTGTTCTAAGGTATGGTTGTCCAGTAGAAGGATTGCCCTCCCAATGCGTGTGTGGCTCATCCTACGACATCGGCCACGCCATGGTGTGCAAGAAAGGGGGCTTCGTAAGCATGAGGGATGGCGAAGTAAGGGATCTCACAACAAATATGTTTAAGAAAATTTGCCATAATGTCATGGTAGAACCGACCTTCCTTCCATTGGATGGTGAGAATTTCCATCACAGGACTTCAAACACATCCAACGAAGCCCGTGTGGACGTCAGTGCTTGAGGATTTTGGACACGGGAACAGCGAGCTTTCTTTGACATAAGAATTTTCGACCTCATGGCCGCATGTCACCGTAACCTAGCTTTCGATGCTGCACACAGGAGGAACGAGAACGCCGAGATCAGGGCAGCTTCACTCCTCTAGTGTTCACAACCTCTGGTGGGATGGGACCAAGTGCTAGATGTTTCTACGCAAGACTGGCCGAGGTGTTATCCGAACAAGAGCAGCAGCCCAGAAGTTATGTTACGGCTGGTTGAGGTGTCGACTGTCTTTCTCTGCTTAGGTCTGCATTGTTTTGCCACAGGGAACGAGATCTTCGGCCCCAAAGCTGACAACGGTCGCAGATACTGACTATGAGGCAACAGTCACTGAATGCCGTATAGATCTACGACTTAACTAACTCAACAAAGCTCGGGTAGCTACTCATGTATTAGGATGTTTAATTTAAGGAAAAAATGCTGGCGAAGATTAGGCTATAGGGGGAGGCTGGAGGCCACATTGTACAAAAACGTAGTAGTAGTAGCGTGTGTGTGTGTGGTTGTTGTGTGTGTGTGTGTGTGTGTGTGTGTGTGTGTGTGTGTGTGTGTGTGTGTGTGTGCAAAACCTAGGTACAGAGCAACACCACCAAGTAACGCTGTTATTGCTGTTATGTTTCAGGCGGTGGTCCCCAGTTGCTGTGGACCAGGACAGCGGAGGAGTGAGTGTGTCCGGTGATCTCCGCCTCAACACTTCACCCTTACAGCTGCTGGTCGGTGTTGTGGACGCTGGCTCACCACAGCGATACAGCCTCGCCAACCTCACCATCTATGTCAGAAACATTTCAGGTACAGCAGTGTGTGTGTGTGTGTTAGAACAGCATGGTCATCACAAAACCCTTGACATGACACCTGTACCCTGACATGACACCTGTACCCTGACATGACACCTGTACCCTGACATACCCTGTACCCTGACATAACACCTGTACCCTGACATGCACCCTGACATGACACCTGCACCCTGACATGATTCCCTGAATACAACACAGCAGGTAGTACACTTTGTCTAATTACAGGTGGTGTGTTTACAAGCCAGGTAAGGGGGCGTGTGGCAGTATCATCACCCAACACACACACACACACACTGCTAATTAGTGAAATGCATGAGAGGTGTAAATCATTTTGTTAATTAGATATGACAACTTAATTATTATGAGTATGATGACTTAATCCATGTGAATATGATGAATTAAACCGTTGAGTACAATGACTGAAGTGTGTCAGTGTATAGTGTATTTTAAGTTTATCAGTGTTTAAGCAGTAGAAAAAAATCAATGTATTATGAGTGTATTGATGTGTATACTCTGTGGTTGTATACAGCGCCTCGGGGTGTAAAGGTGGTTCACACGACAGAGTCAACCCTGAAGGTGTGCTGGTCGCCGCCCACCCACGGCCGCCCACAAGGCTACGTACTCACCTACACCCCCTCCCTCGCTCACTCAAACTATGGTCAAGGCTCTCTCAACCTGTCCATTAGTCAGCTGCGATCAAAGGTAGGTCCTGATCCTCACCTTTCACCCTCACCTTACACCCTCATCTTACACCCTCACCTTACACCCTCACCTTACACCCTCACCTCACACCCTCACCTTACACCCTCACCTTACACCTCACCTCACACCCTCACCTCACACCCTCACCTTACACCTCACCCTCACCTTACACCTCACCTTACACCTCACCTACACCTCACCTACACCCTCACCTTACACCTCACCTCACACCTCACCCACACCCTCACCTCACACCCCACCACACCTCACCCACACCTCACCTTACACCTCACCACACCACCTACACCCTCACCACACCTCACCACACCTCACCTCACACCCTCACCTTTCACCTTCACCTCACACCCCCACCTCACACCCTCACCTCACACCCTCACCTCACACCCTCACCTCACACCCTCACCTTACACCCTCACACCTCTACTGAAATACATGAAGGTTTACTGTATAAGTCAAATCTGTTTTATATTACCGTATTAAATATTTTTATTACACAGATCATTGGTGGCAGCAGCCGGGAGGAAGAGGCGGTAGGAAAGAACGAGGGGGTAGTGGGCGGTGTGGCGGGCGGTGTGGTGGAAATATATCGCTACTGCGCCATCGTGGGCGGCCTAGCCAGGTGGACGGAGTATATAGTGGGCGTGCGGGCGTGGGCGGTCGAGCAGGTGTCTATAGCAGCTGTCCCAGTGTTGGCTACCACCCGGAGTGACTGTGAGTGTTACCGTTATTCTGTACATCTGTTGTTTACCTGTACACCTGTTGTTTACCTGTACACCTGTTGTTTACCTGTACACCTGTTGTTTACCTCCTTTCACCTCCCCGCCACCTCCTTTCCTCCCTCTCCCTCCTCTCGTCCCCGTCACTCCCCTGCTCTCGCCAGTACAGATAAGGAAGACTGATCGATTCAATGATGGGAGAGAGTCAGTTTATGTCAGCCAGTATTACCTTATATTAAGTCAGTGTGTGTCAGCACTGTCAGTTAGGAGACAAAATTAACACTGAGACTCTACCTTAACTAGATACCTTCACTTAACACCACCAGTTAGGAGACAAAATTAACACTGAGACTCTACCTTAACTAGATACCTTCACTTAACACCACCAGTTAGGAGACAAAATTAACACTGAGACTCTACCTTAACTAGATACCTTCACTTAACACCACCAGTTAGGAGACAGAATTAACACTGAGACTCTACCTTAACTAGATACCTTCACTTAACACCACCAGTTAGGAGACAAAATTAACACTGAGACTCTACCTTAACTAGATACCTTCACTTAACACCACCAGTTAGGAGACAAAATTAACACTGAGACTCTACCTTAACTAGATACCTTCACTTAACACCACCAGTTAGGAGACAAAATTAACACTGAGACTCTACCTTAACTAGATACCTTCACTTAACACCACCAGTTAGGAGACAAAATTACACTGAGACTCTACCTTAACTAGACACCTTCACTTAACACCACCAGTTAGGAGACAAAATTACACTGAGACTCTACCTTAACTAGATACCTTCACTTAATACCAGCCAATCACCAGCTCTTGATCAACCATATTTACTTAAGCTGGTCGCTGATTGGACACTGAAATATTCTTGAAGTTTTATTGGCTGACGATGGTGAGTTTAACACCAGAACCTCTTCCTAAAATACACAGAAAAAAATAAGTAAAACAAAGAAATAAATCAAGTAACCAAACAAACAAAGAAACAAATAATTCTTTTACACAAACAAATTACCCAAACAACCAAAGATAGATAACATGCTCAAGCAAACACAAATAAACAATGAGAAATATTATACTAAGAACCAAACAATAGATGAAAAACACAAAAACAAGATAGTTCAAAGAAGCAAACAAAACAGATGAAAAACAAGCAAAAGGTATAAAACAAGCAAGATCAAACAAATAAGCAAGAGAGATGAAACAAGGGTTGAGGGAACACGGAACTCGACTAGCGGCTGAGGTCATAGCAGGAGACGACAGCTGGTAGTGCTAGGTGTCACGTAGGGCACCACACACACTCACACTACTACTACTACTACTACTACTACTACTACTACTACTACTACTACTACTACTACTTTTTTTTAACGTGGCCTCCAGCCTCCCCCAATAGCCACACCTTCGCCACCATTTATTACCTTAATATTAAATATCCTAATACATAATAAGCTATCCTATCTGTGTTAAATTAGTTGAGCCGCAGATCTATGCGGCATTCAGTGACTGTAGCCTCATAGTCAATATCTGCAGCAGTTGTCGGAGTAGGGGCAGAAGCTCTCGTTCCCCTGAGGCAGAGCAAAGCCGACCGAAGAAGAGAGAAAGACAGTCGACATCTCATCCAGGCTGTAACATAACTTCTGGGCTGCTGCTTCTGTTCGGAGATCACCTCCGCTAGTCTGGCGTAGAAACATCTTGCACTTGGTCCCATCCCACCAGAGGTTGTGAACACTAGAGGAGTGAAGCTGCCTTGATCAACGTTTTGAATTCTCTCCCCTTATGCCCTTCTCTTGTCGTTCTCGTTCCTCCTATGTGCAGCATCGAGAGCTAGGTTACGGTGACATGCGGCCATGAGATAAAAAATCCTGATGTCGAAGAAAGCTCGCTGTCCCCGCGTCCAGAATCCTCGAGCATTGACGTTCACACGGGCTTCGTTAGATGTGTTTGAAGTCCTGTGTTGGAAGATCTCACCATCCAATGGAAGGAGGGTCGGTTCTACCATGACATCCCGGCAGATTTCCTTCAACATATTTGCTGTGAGATCCCTTACCTCGTCATGCGTTATGCATATGAAGCCCACTTTCTTGCACACCATGGCATGATCGCCATCATAGGAAGAACCACACACGCATTGGGAGGGCAAACCTTCTACTGGCCGACCGTACCTTAGAGCAATGGCATCTGTAAATTCTTGTTTATTAAGACTGAAACCATTTGCCCTTATCGGTAACGTAGTTAACCAGTTCGAGGCGCCCACCTCCTGTGCTAGAGCTACTTTTTTTTTAATTTTTCTGGGACCTACGAATCTTATTTACTTCACTGGCATCCACTTCCCCTGTTGCATTCTGGGCTATTATATGGTCCATGAGGGCTGCCGTGAGCTTAAGTGAATTTTGATGTTCAGTGGCAGCAATCTCCTCTGGATTTGTTAGTCCCATCCCTCCCAGTCTTGATGGAAGTGCAAGAAGTGCTTTTTCTGCTGGGGTTAAGTCTGGGTGTTTCACTAATTTAGGAATGAAATTGACACTGATAACTTCTTCCAGAGGGTGGAGGAGGGGTCCGATATCAGGGATGGTACGCATCAGGTAGTTCCAACGATGCTTGACTCCATGGGTGAATGCAGCAAAGGCCGCATGTGGCTCTGTGTTAGCGATCTCAGACAGAGCTTGGATTTCACTAACCCACTCATTCACCTTTCCTGCCACGTACTCGGTCTTGAAATCCGCAGTGCCAATTACTGCGCCTAGATGTCTTTGGCCGTCCTTAGTTATTTTGACCTCACTTCCGCCAAAAACCTCATTTGCCCGTTCATAATGTTCTGGCTTCACGATGAGGAAGGACTTGCTGGCGTTTGGGTGGTACCCTATTTGTGGACCTCGCGATGTTACCAGGTCCCACCACTTTTTGATGCCCTCCACTTTTCCTGCTCCTGTAAGGTCATCAGCATACGCCACTTGTTTGACCCCAGTTGTTTCAAATTTTATTTCTTGTTGGAGCACTGATAGGCCAATTGCATACATTGCCATTGCAACAGGTGTTGTTCCCTCGGTTGACTGTATGATGGTATCACCTCTTAGAGCCTTGTTGTTTACTATGTAGAGGTCTGATGGATTCCTATACGAATTTTCAACATTCATTGCAAAGCTTGGACACTTGATCTTGATGTTGTGCAGTGCAGCCTTGCGGTTAAGTATGTTGAATGCGTTTGAAGCATCTCCCAGGAGAACGGCCTCACAATCACGCTGCTCATATATCAATCTCATGGCGTGAATGGCCGCCTCCCCACCAGCCTGGTGGCCAGCACACACACTTGTAGGTTCCCTGCTGCTGCCCTGACATCGTCCTTTACCACCTCCATTATGCACTTTCCGATGATCCGCCTCAGCACTTCCCCCGCCCCTATAGATCTACATCCTGGTTTCTTTTCCAGAGGAATAAGGCGGCAGGCCGTCAGGGCCTGGAGGTGATGGCAGCAAGAGGATGCAAGCTTTCTTGCAAGGGCGGCAATGGCAGTGCAGAGATCGCTTGCTACAGGGCCAAACTTGTTTGTGCTGAAGATGACTCTCCAACCGTTTGCATCAGGCCTGAAGGGCCGGCTCCTCCTCGAGTCTTCAGTGCCTTTTTCCACACCATCTCTCCTGTTATTTTCTCGAACAGGACAGCGTTTGGTGGGGTATAGACACCCTGGAACCTGATGCCTTCTTCGTCGTTTGCCCGGGGATGTTTCTCTTTCAGTAGTTTTAATGTCTCTCTGTTTATTGGCATCACCCCACCGGAGGATTCCTCTGTGAGAGATCTTACCGCCAGAGACACTTTTCCCACACGCATTTTGTTTCCAAATTTTCTTGCCACGTCATCGGTGTTTTGCTTTCCGTCACCCGTAACTTTTAGTCTCTCCTGCAGTGTTCTTGCTTCACATAGGAGATCATCAAGGGAAGACTTACGCAAGTTGCTTCCATGTTCACCACGAGGGCTAGCCAGTGGCGGCAGCTGAAAGTGAGAGGAATCAAGCAGTGCTTACACCTTAACACTGACATAATGCTGCCACACTAGACGCATTTCATCACCCTGTGTTCGAACACACAGACACACACACAGACACACACACAGACACAGACACACACACACACACACACACACACACACACACACACACACACACTACATCCTTGACCACCGAAGGGTCGAGACGTGCCTGGCGCTCCTCTAGGAGCAGCCAGGTCAACTGTTGTGTTGGCCCATACCAGCCCCCTCCCCTGAACCCTCCTCCCCACCGGAATATCAACATGTTCTCGCCAGAAGTTGCTGTTTCATTTAGGAAAGGAATGGAACCAGTGTTAAACAGAGGTGAACAGTGGTGAACGGTGCTTAAGTCAGTGAGAACAACTCAACAGTAACAGTCGTACCCGGGTTGACCTTCACACAGTGAGGTCCCAGGTACCCAGTGATAGCGGCCCGTGAGACCCAACAACCAGCGATGTGTTAATCCGTCTACGATAGGAAGGCCTGGGACCACACCTCACTCATATAACACCATCTGTGAGGGAATTACTACACCACGTCAGGCCCCTCATAACACCATATGTGAAGGAGTTACTACACCACGTGAGGCCCCTCATAACACCATCTGTGAGGGAATTACTACACCACGTGAGGCCCCTCATAACACCATCTGTGAGGGAATTACTACACCACGTGAGGCCCCTCATAACACCATCTGTGAGGGAATTACTACACCACGTGAGGTCCCTCATAACACCATCTGTGAGGGAATTACTACACCACGTGAGGCCCCTCATAACACCATCTGTGAGGGACTACTACACCACGTGAGGTCCCTCCTAACACCATCTGGGAGGGAGTTACTACACTACGTTTTTGCTGTTCAACACCTACAATAATCTGTATGTTCACTGTATGTTCCTTTACCTTTCTCTAATGAAGGCTTTTGTTAAACCACCAATGTATGTAATAAGTCATTTATGTCCAATGTATATTTTCAGCCTTCGGGCTGCAGAACTTTTTCAATAAACCGTCAATTATTATTATTATTATTATTACACACATACATACATACATACACACACACACACACACACACACACACACACACACACACACACACACACACACTCACACACACACACCCCATCCCCCAGGTATTTACAAGTATAGATCCTCGAGACCTAAGCTGCTATAAGTGAGATGATGATAAGTGATACTTGAGAGTTTAAGAGACTCTTACAGATCACAAGTGGAGGGATACTTCCATTGAGGATCTGACCTTATAGAGCGTGTGGCGCCTTAGTTGGCTTTAGGAAACATTGGTGAGTGATCTACTGACCTCCCTACTGTTACAAGGTTGTCACCCACAGTGCCCACGACCTTACCACAGTGCCCACGACCTCCCCACAGTACCCATGACCTTACCAAAGTACCCAGGACCTTACCACAGTACCCACGACCACACCACAGAGCCCACGACCTCCCCAAACTACCCACGACCTTACCACAGTACCCAGGGCCTTACCACAGTACCCAGGACCTTACCACAGTGCCCACGACCTTACCACAGTACCCACGACCTTACCACAGTACCCAGGACCTTACCACAGTACCCAGGACCTTACCACAGTACCCACGACCTCCCTACAGTACCCACGACCTTACCACAGTACCCAGGGCCTTACCACAGTACCCACGACCTCACCACAGAGCCCACGACCTCCCAAAGTACCCAATGACCTACCACAGTACCCACGACTCCACACAGTACCCACGACTATACCACAGTACCCATGACTTCCCAAAGTAGCCCAGGACCTTAGCATTGTGTACCCACTGACCTCCCCACAGTGCCCACGATCTTACCAAAGTACCCAGGACCTACCACAGTACCCACGACCACACCACAGAGCCCAATGACCTCCCCAAAGTACCCAATGACCTTACCACAGTACCCAATGACCTTACCACAGCACCCACGACCTACCACAGTACCCAATGACCTTACCACAGTACCCAGGACCTTACCGCAGCACCCACGACCTTACCACAGTACCCACGATATTACCACAGTACCCACGACCTTACCAGCGTACCCACGACCTTACCACAGTACCCAGGACCTTACCACAGTACCCACGACCTTACCACAGTACCCACGACCTTACCACAGTACCCAGACCTTACCACAAAGTACCCACGACCTTACCACAGTACCCACGACCCTCCCCACAGTGACCACGACCTACCACAGTACCCACGACCTCCCTACAGTACCCAGGACCTTTACCACAGTACCCACGACTCCTAAGCAAAGTACCCAGGACCTTACCACAGTACCTCACGACCTACTCACAGTACCCACGACCTTACCACAGTACCCACGACCTTACCACAGTACTCAATGTGACTCCTACCACAGTACCCACGACCCACTATAGTGTACGCACGACCTTACCACAGTACCCACGACCTCCCACAGTGACCACGATTCCTTACCACAGTGCACCCACGACCTTACCACAGTACCCACGACCTCCCCAGCAGTACCCAGGACCTACCACAGTACCCATCGACCTTACCACAGTACCTAATGACCTTACCACAGTACCCAGACCTTACCACAGTACCCAGGACCTCCCCACAGTACTCACGACCTACCACAGTACCCAGGACCTTACCACAGTACCCAGGATCTTACCACAGTACCCAGGACCTTACCACAGTACCCAGGACCTCCCTACAGTACCCAGGACCTTACCACAGTACCCAGGACCTTACCACAGTACCCAGGACCTTACCACAGTACCCGGGACCTTACCACAGTACCCAGGACCTTACCACAGTACCCACGACCTTCCCACAGTACCCACGACCTCTTGTTTTATCCGTGTTATCTCTTATCTCTTGTTATCTCGTGTTATGTCCTGTTATCTCGTGTTATGTCCTGTTATCTCGTGTTATCTCTCGTTATCTCGTGTTATCTCGTGTTATCTCGTGTTATCTCTTGTTATCTCGTGTTATCTCGTGTTATCTTTATCTACAGATTGTGGTGAGGGTGTGTGTGGAACAGGCGGCTGTACTCTCCGTCAGTCTACGCCGGGGTACATCTGTCACTGTCAGCCTGGCTACTATGGTCTTAACTGTCAGCACCACAACCCCTGTCTCCCTCACAATCCCTGTCAGCACTTTGGTAAATATACAGTACAGGTGTTCATTGTATTATATGTAGGAGTATACAGTACAGGTGTTCATTGTATTATATGTAAGGGTCTACAGTACAGGTGTTCATTGTATTATATGTAAGGGTCTACAGTACAGGTGTTAATTTTCTTTCAGGCAAGTGTCAAAATGCGACTGATGGGTCATACACCTGTGACTGCCCAAGAGGGTTCTACGGTGACAACTGTACACAGATTAACCCTTGTGAAGCAGTCACCTCTAACCCCTGTAATAATGGTGGAACATGTGTCAGGTATGATTATATCACCTTAAACACCTGTAGTAATGGTGCAACACGTGTCAGGTATGATTATATCACCTTAAACACCTGTAGTAATGGTGCAATATATGTCAGGTATGATTATATCACCTTAAACACCTGTAGTAATGGTGCAACATGTGTCAGGTATGATTATATTACCTTAAACACCTATAGTAATGGTGCAACATGTGTCAGGTATGATTACATTACCTTAAACCCCTGTAGTAATGGTGCAACATGTGCCAGGTATGATTATATCACCTTAAACACCTGTAGTAATGGTGCAACATGTGTCAGGTATGATTATATTACCTTAAACACCTGTAGTAATGGTGCAATATGTGTCATGTATGATTATATCACCTTAAACACCTGTAGTAATGGTGCAACATGTGTCAGGTATGATTATATTACCTTAAACATCTGTAGTAATGGTGCAACATGTGTCAGGTATGATTATATCACCTTAAACACCTGTAGTAATGGTGCAACATGTCAGGTATGATTATATCACCTTAAACACCTGTAGTAATGGTGCAACATGTGTCAGGTATGATTATATCACCTTAAACACCTGTAGTAATGGTGCAACATGTGTCAGGTATGATTATATCACCTTAAACACCTGTAGTAATGGTGCAACATGTGTCAGGTATGATTATATTACCTTAAACACCTGTAGTAATGGTGCAACATGTGTCAGGTATGATTATATTACCTTAAACACCTGTAGTAATGGTGCAACATGTGTCAGGTATGATTATATCACCTTAAACACCTGTAGTATTGGTGCAACATGTCAGGTATGATTATATTACCTTTAACACCTGTAGTAATGGTGCAACATGTGTCAGGTATGATTATATCACCTTAAACACCTGTAGTAATGGTGCAACATGTCAGGTATGATTATATCACCTTAAACACCTGTAGTAATGGTGCAACATGTGTCAGGTATGATTATATCACCTTAAACACCTGTAGTAACGGTGCAACATATGTCAGGTATGATTATATCACCTTAAACACCTGTAGTAATGGTGCAACATGTCAGGTATGATTATATTACCTTTAACACCTGTAGTAATGGTGCAACATGTGTCAGGTATGATTATATCACCTTAAACACCTGTAGTAATGGTGCAACATGTCAGGTATGATTATATCACCTTAAACACCTGTAGTAATGGTGCAACATGTGTCAGGTATGATTATATCACCTTAAACACCTGTAGTAACGGTGCAACATATGTCAGGTATGATTATATCACCTTAAACACCTGTAGTAACGGTGCAACATGTGTCAGGTATGATTATATCACCTTAAACACCTGTAGTAATGGTGCAACACGTGTCAGGTATGATTATATCACCTTAAACACCTGTAGTAATGGTGCAACATATGTCAGGTATGATTATATCTCCTTAAACACCTGTAGTAATGGTGCAACATGTGTCAGGTATGATTATATCTCCTTAAACACCTGTAGTAATGGTGCAACATGTGTCAGGTATGATTATATCTCCTTAAACACCTGTAGTAATGGTGCAACATGTGTTAGGTTTGATAGAGTCATCATACTTGGGTTCATCACTGGTTGCTAACATCTGTTCATCGTATTAAAACAATAACACATGTTTGTTTATAATTAAACATTGTTATTAAACATGTGTTCTAATATTTTATAAATGTTCTTCACTCTGACATGATAAGACCTATATATGTCAGGTGTAAACATATTAAATACCTGGTCTGGCTGTCACATACCTGTTCTTCTCAGGTGCGTGTAAACTAAACACTCTAATTGTGTTTTTTTTGTTTGTTTATAACGATTATTGGGTGTTATAGGGTGTTCACCTGTCATAACACACCTGTCATAAAGCATTACTCTCTCCACACACCTGTCCTACATCTGTCATAAAGTATTACTCTCTCCACACACCTGTCCTACACCTGTCATAAAGTATTACTCTCTCCACACACCTGTCCTACACCTGTCATAAACTATTAATCTTTCCACACACCTGTCCTACACCTGTCACAGTATTACTCTCTCCACACACCTGTCCTACACCTGTCATACACCTGTCATACAGTATTACTCTCCACACACCTGTCCTACACCTGTCATACACCTGTCATACAGTATTACTCTCCACACACCTGTCATACACATGTCAAAAAGCACTACTTTCTATCCACCTGTCCTACACCTTTCCTACACCAGTCATAAAACATTACTCCACACACCTGTCCTACACCTGTCATAAAGCTTTACTGCACACACCTGCTCTACACCTGTCATAAAGTTTATTCTTTCCACACACCTGTCCTACACCTGTCATATAGCATTACTCCACACACCTGTCCTACACCTGCCATAAAGTATTACTCTAACCATACACCTGTCTTAGGAGTACTGTAATAATTAGTTTACAGTGTCGTTGAGTACACCTGGCCAGAGTACTAAACAACCAGTACATGTATGTGTGTGATGATGTACTTAGTGAAGATATTTAGATGACAATTAATGTTTACCTGTTTACACCTGCCAGGATGCAGCAACACTCGGTATACGGCCCGGTAAGAATACCTCATGTGTACATAGTGTTGTTGTCTCTGTACACTCACACACACACACACACACACACACACACACACACACACACACACACACACACACACACACATACATACACATACATCTACTACTACTACTACTACTACTTTGCTGTCACTGAATCGAGTATGATCATCCAGCTATGATACAATGATATGAGTTATGAGGGATGTCACCTAGGTTGGTGAGTTCTGAGGTGACTAAAGAGGCCGATATGGGACCGGCAAAGTCGTTCACAGATGTTGCACATGTGGAGGGCTACACCTAGTGCGGGAGGGGTGGTGGCAGCGTCTTTCTGGCGTTGGCGCTTGTCTGCCTTGGTATGCAGTCGGAATAACTCGAAAGTATTGACACATTCTCGTGTGGTACTCCTCCAAGCGTTACGCTGTGTGTTTCTGTGTAGGGGGTTGAGCACTTTTTCAGGTTTGTCTTAAGACTATCCTTATACCTTTTCAGTTGTCCGCCGGCGTTACGTTTACTATTCATTAGGTGACTGTAAAGTAGCTGCTTTGGCAGTCTACTGTCGTCCATGCGGGTAACATGGCCAGTCCAGCGTAGTTGTTCATGGATAATGGCAGCCTCGATGCTCCTACAGTTGGTGTCAGCGAGAATACTGGCATTTGTTCTCTTGTCTTCCCAGCGAACTCGGAGGATGGAACGTAGACTACGTTGGTGAAAGTTTTCAAGTGCCTTGAGGTGCCTCCTGTATGTGACCCATGTCTCGCTGCCATACAGCAGGGTGGGGAGGGCCACTGCTTGATGTACATGCAACTTTATAAACAACTTCAGCTCCCTACAGCTGAAGACACGGCTTTGGAGTCTGCCAAAGGCTCGAGATGCACATCCGATCCGATGTTAAATCTCTTCATTAGAGAGGGTAGTACCGTTAAGGTAGATGGATGGTGGAGGTGTGGCTGAAACAGGGGCAGGCTGATCTGAGTCTTACCTACATTCACCTCAAGGCCGAAGTGTGCATAGGCATCTGCGTAAGTGTTCAGGATCTCCTGTAGGTCACGTTCAGTGTGAGTGACAAGGGTGAGGTCGTCTGCATACTGAAGTTCAATAATGGAAGCTGCAGACACCTTTGTTCCTGCCTGGGGTCGTCTTGTGTTGAAAAGATCCTTCACCTAGGGCTCGATGTCCACCCCGCCGGCTAAATTGGCACTGGCACGAGTTAGGAAGGCAGCCAAGAAAATGGAAAAAAGAGTTGGTGCCAGTACACATCCTTGTTTAAACCCCATTTGGATGGGGAAGAACTCAGACTGGGTGCCATTGTGTAGGACACTGCCGTTCATGCCATCGTGGAGTTGCCTCAAAAAGGTCAATGAATTTTCGTCGACAGCCAAAACTGCTGTGGGTCTGCCAGAAGGCTTCCCTGTTGACCGAGTCGAAGGCCTTGGTTAGGTCGATGAAGGCCATGTACAGGTCACGACGCTGTTCTCTGCACTTTTCCTGTATCTGGCGGGCAGCGAAGATCATGTCAGTAGTGCCATGTGATGGTCTTGTCTTGAGCCACATTAAGATTCGGGGAGGAAGTTTTCTGCGTCAGGATGAAGTCTGTTTAGGACTAATCAGGTGATAATATTACCAGCTACGGACAGCAACGAGATCCCGCAGTAGTTGCCACAGTCTGACCGGTCTCCCTTGTTCTTATAAATATTGATGATGGAGGCGTGTTTAAGAGCTTGGAGGATTTCCTCCTTTTCCCATATATTCTCCAGGAGAGAGTGGAGACGGCTGGTAAGCAGAGGTCCTCCTGCTTTATACACCTTGGTTGGGATTCCATCAGGCCCTGAGGCTTTGTTATTTTTCATCTGTTTGATGGTTTGATGGCAGTAGTTACCTCATCCAGGGATGGAGGATAGCTGAGGTGGGTCAGCTCTGGTTGCTGAGGGACCTGCTGGGTAGTCAGAACATCCACATAGGATGTTCTGACTATGTTCTCTGAAAGCATGTGCTACCGCTGGATCCTCCAGACGCTCAGTGATAAAACCTCTTTTGGAAGCTTGCTGCCTTCGCCGATTTGGGCGATGTGAAGTGATATCTTGGCTCTGACGAGCCGATTATCGGCGTCACGGTGGTCTGAGCCAAAAATGGCTCGGGTGATGAGGACATCTCGGCGATCTCTTTCTCTGACATTGATTGCAATGTCAGAGAAAGAGATGCCAGTGTTTGGATCGTGGGTGTTGCCAAGAACCCTTGATCTTGTCGGCCTGCCTAAACAAGGTGTTGGTGATAGTGAGGTAGTGTGCAGCACACTTGCTGAGGAGGAGTAGTCCGGTGGGATTACAATTGCTCAGTCCAAATGTCAGCATCTCAGCCAACTCTGGCATTGAAGTCACCAAGGAGAACAACCTTACCTTTTCTGGGGATAGCAGTTAGCACTCCGTCAAGGTCGGCGTAAAAGGCCTCCTTGATGTCATCCTCTGCATCCAGTGATGGGGTGTATGCACTGATGAAAAAGGCAGGACGTGAGTGATTGAGTGGCGCTCGTTGATCCAAATAGGTATTTCAGGTAACCTGTGTAGGATGCGTTGGCGGATGGGAAAGCCAAATCCATAAAAGCGGTTTCTCTCTGCATTAGGCTTACCCTTCCAGAAGAAGGTATAGCCAGACCCCCGTTCCTTGAGTTGACCCTCGTCTGGGAGCCAGGACTCACTAATGGTTGCTATGTCGATGTTATACGTTGCCACCTCTTTTGCCACAAGGGCAGTTCTTCTTTCAGGATGCTGATGTGTGCCAGTATCCAGAAGGGTCCTGATATTCCATGCAGCGACCCTATGAGTTTGTATAGTTTGTTTTTGTTTGGATCTGTGATTTTGCTTGTGTTTTCCACAACATAAGGATGACCTTATTGGGTGCGGTTGCCCAGTCAAGTTTTTTTTTTTAGGCAGGCTATGTTTAGGGCACATTTTCTAGCCCCCTGCCCATGTGGGGTGAGCAGAGTGGCTCCTCGAAAGGGCTGCTCAGTCACACAGACAGGACTGGATTGCACTGCTGCTTAGATCCCAGTGCATAAATAACCATCTTTTCTGTGCCGCCCATGTGTGGAGTTGTGACTTGAGACTCCCGGCAGTCATCTCTGCCTGTCCCCGTCACCACTCGTCCGTCGCCATTGGACTTTTGGGGGTATAGGGGTTTTGATGATGATGAGAGGTATGATGTGCTGGATGATGGCTGCGCGTGAGTGATTTATGTGGTGAGGCAGGAGCACAGGCTGCAACCACACATCTTGGCGCCTCCCTTTTCCTGACCCAGTGGTGCAAGTGTTGCAACGACTGGGGAGAGGGAGATTTGGAATGGACTGCCGATAGCCCATTTTGTTGGGCTTCGCCTTAGTAGCCTGACCATCATGTATTGCGGTGTAGTCGTTGGGCTCCCATGGTTGTCACCTCTTCCGCCTATACCGCCGTTGGGGTCATGTTGGGACTCTGTAAGCATGTCTGCCTGATGCAGGGCTCCATTGCAGATTTTTCGTGCAGGGTTTACTCCCGTAGCCTTATACCTACCAAGGTTAATCCGCAAGGCAGTGGGGCTATGGTTGGTAGCCGCTAGTAAGTGTCCACATGCCAGTGGGCCTATGTGACGTCCCTCTGGGGCCCACTGCTACTCCGAGATCCCCTGCTGGTCTAGCCTGGGCCCACGAGGCACCCAGTTACCATGTGTTGCCACGAGGAGGCACAGCAGGAGTCTTGATGGTGAAGAGGCTGTGTAATGGCAGGGAAGACTTCTACAAGTTGCTTCCCAGTTCACCACGAGGGCTAGCCAGCGGCGGTAGCTGGAAGTGAGAGGAAGCAAGTAGTGCTTCGACCTTAACACTAACATAATGCTGCCTCACTAGGCGCATTTCACAACCCTGTGTGCGAACACAGTACACAACACTACACCCCCACACACTACACCCCCACACACTACGCCCCCACACTACGCCCCCACACACCACACCCCACACACCCCCCCACACACTACGCCCCACACACCACACCCCCACACACTACGCCCCCACACCACGCCCCCACACACCACACCACACACACGCCCCACACACTACACCCCCACACACCACACCCACACACCACACCCCCACACACCACACACACACCACACCCCCACACACTACACCCCCACACACTACACCCCCACACACTACGCCAGGCTCTATGAACACAGTTGTTGAATTGTGTATTAGTGTTACTACGCCAGTGAAGCGTAGTTTATATAATGGCTGCCCTGTAGACTGTATTTAATAACCTGCCTTAAAGTGTACTAGTGAACAGCATGTTGACCCTGTTACTCTGTATCTCAGTTTACATTATACATGAATAATTCTACCTTCTAATGCTATTTCCTTCACATAAAGAAAAAATAACCAGTTTCTTTTGAGAGACTCTGTAGAAGCTTCTGTGAATGTGTCATGCTGTAAAATAAAAAAATCCTACCTTGCAGGCATTCTTCCTCAGGCTTTTAAATGACAGCATTTATCAGCATGATATAAGTATTGCTTCCCTCTGTTAGTAGAATGATAATTATATTTGTTATAGTGTTATATAATCAGTTCCTATGCACAGTACAGTATCACCTGTTAATTATTTCACACCTTTATATTGATCAATTAAATTATTACCTCTGCTAGATGAATCAATGAGTTTCCTATAATTCATTATCCCCCCCCTGAATATTTCTAGATAATTACCTCACCTACATATTTATTTCCTGGATTACCATTTGTAGATAGTTAATTACCTGTCCGTGTACACAGTGAGGAAAGTGGGCGGTACAGGTGTGTGTGTACTGAAGGGTTTTACGGGATGACGTGTGAGCACTACGACCCGTGTGTGTCCAACCCTTGTCAACACGGCGGCTCCTGTACCAACCTCTCACACACCTCCTTCAGCTGTCACTGTGCTCCAGGATACAGAGGTAACAGTAGAATTAACAGTTGTAGTAACAGTAGCAGTAACAGTAAAAATAATAACAGTAACAGTAGCAAATCAGTAACAGTAGTAGTAACAGTAACAGCACAAATAACAATAATAGTAACAATAGCAGTAACAGTAACAATGGTAGTAACAGTAGCTGTAACAGTGGTAGTAACAGTAACCGTAGCAATAAAAGTAACAGTGGTAGTAACAGTAACAGTAGTAGTAACAATAACAGTAGTAGTAACAGTACCAGTGATATTAACAATAACATTAAAAGTAACAATAGCAGTAGCAATAAAAGTAACAGTAACAATGGTAGTAACAGTAACAATGGTAGCAACAATATCAATAAAATTAACGATAACAGTATAGTATAGTACAACATACACAAGTAACACCAATTACACCTTAGTAACACCAAGTAACATAAAGTAACGTTAATACCAACAACAATTAACACGGGTAGGCCTTTGTCTTGGGTTATTTTGAAGCCCAGTACTGTTCTTGACTCCACACCTTGGGCTGGTAGACTGTCCCATGGGTCCACCAGCCTCTGTGTGGAGAAGTATTTCGTTATGTTTTTCTGCAGGATAACTTGGCCAGCTTGTAGTTGTGTCCCCTCGTGTTGGTTTAAGTTTTCCGTCACTCTCAAGATTTTGAATGTTTCAACGTGATCTGCACTATTGACTATTTGGATAATGGAGATGACATAATTCAGGAATCATCTCAGTCTCTCTGTGTTGTACCTTTTCTGTGATGATCTGATAATTTCAGTACTTGACAACACAAAAAAATTGCTTGTGAAAAACACTGGTAATAAAAATATGATAAAAGGAACGTGAGCAAGTGACAACAAGGTGGAAGGTGTCGCTGTAATATTAATCTTGTCTTCTTTATGATATTTACCATAACACGAGCGTCTTACCTGCCTATACTATCAGAGATCAGTACTGAACAGTTAGTACTCCTTAGAATTATAGAATATATAGTAGGTGAGATAAATGAAATACTAAAGCTAGATTGAGATGCAGTGTGAGTTTCTGTCGGCCAATTCGCCGTCTTGTTACAAACGACTCTAGACCTCATTTGCAAAGTTGGAGTTAACAGACTAAAGGTGGCAATACTGTACACTACCAGACCACAAGAACACGTGTTCAGTATAACATAACCCTGGCAGTGATGGCGGAGAGTTACTGTGCTGGCCTGTTACCTCCATCCTGCCTTGTTCACCTCCATCCTGCCTTGTTCACCTCCATCATGCCTTGTTCACCTCCATCATGCCTTGTTCACCTCCATCCTGCCTTGTTCACCTCCATCCTGCCTTGTTCACCTCCATCATGCCTTGTTCACCTCCATCTCATTTACACACAATTGCAGGGTCTCAATTGTTTCTCTTACTGTTGACAACACAACAAATATAACTGTACTCAATCATGATCTGTTCTATTCTTTCTACTTTATTCTCCTATAATATTAAAGTGGGGCCTTCTCAGATAGGTCCCACTGGTCGGGAAGGTTGTGGACCCCAGGGCCGACCTGTTCATCATCAACTTACTGGGGCCTCAACTGACGTCACCGCGGTTGCTGGAGGATTGACTTTTTTCACACTTCATTTTTCCAACATTCACGGTCTGAGATCCAATTTTCCTTCTGTGGAGCACCAACTATTAACTTCTTCCCCCGATCTCTTACTACTCTCTGACTTCAACTGACTAAAGCAGCTTCACCCAAACCTTTTCAAGTCTCCAACTACAACCTTTCTACCTCCTTCCGTTCTAAGGGAGGTGTATGGGCCTACTGCAACACACGTACGCCTATAGCTCGACTCACGGATCTTGAATCTTCCCTTTATGATGTCATCTAGCTCAAAATATCTCTACCAACTGTGACTATTTTTCTTTGTTTCCTATACTGTTCTCCCAACTCTACCAACTATTTCGAACTCGTTGACTATCTCACTTCTTGCCATGAGTCGTTGCTATCCACACACCCCAACACCGAGATCCTCTACCTAGGGGATTTCAATGTACATCACAGAGAGTGGCTTGGCTCTGCAAGGGATGACCCAGGTGGAGCTGAGGCGCACTCTTTTTCCCTACTTAATGATTTGGATCAAATAATCAAACACCCTACACGTGTTCCTGATCGACGCGACCAACTTGCTAACATTCTTGATCTTTGTTTTACCTCTAACCCCTCACACTATTCATACTCAATTTCTGCCCCCTTAGGGTCTTCTGATCACAACCTTATTTCTATTAAATCAAACTGGGCACGACCACCTCCCCCACCCCCCTCTAAACATCAACTATGGCACTATAGGAGGGCAAGCTGGCAAACCTTGCGAGAATCCTTCACCAACTTTTCTTGGGATGAATGTTGCTTTTCCACTCGGGATGCCTCAGTATGTGCTGACAGCGTTGCTGGGGTTATACAGGGTGGTATGAGTGCATTTATCCCATCTTCTACCAAAACTTTCACATTACAATCATGGTTTGATCGCTCCTGCTCTCTTGCATGCAGGGAGAGAGATAGGGCATATCGCGCTATGAAACTATCTCCTTCTCCTATTACCCACTCCTCTTTCTTTACTTCTAGGAATCGTTGTAAGGCTATTCTTCGTAGGGCCAAGTGGAATTTTATTAAAAGAAAGACTGCTGTCCTGACTAATTCTTCCTCTAGTAAATCCTTCTGGTCCTTACCCAAAAACATCTGTAATAACTAAAGCACTCCCTCTTTTGAAACTGAAACAGTTTATTTAGCCAGAAGAACACAGATACATAATCGATTAATAATAACAATATTAACATGGCTGAGCCAGTTGAGAGCCTCAGCTCTGTTTGAGGCACCTGATATATACTATACATTTATCTCAAGGAAGTATTATGTAACATTTAGTATCATATGGAATTGTACAATAGCATGGTGGTAATAAGAACATCTCATAGTGTTACCACGGTTATCACTTAGATATTTATTTATTTTATTTACTTATATTTTTTACAATTATAAGTATATGCATGATTTACAGTGGAGTGATTAACATAAATATGATAAGGGAGGGAAGCAATACATTATGAATTGAATTAATGGGGAACAAGAGGACAGAGCTGTCAGGGATTATGTCTAGTTGGCAAATATATTTATTGCAATGATAATTTCTATCTATCTATATGACGATCTATGATATAACGGTTTTGGTGGTACAATAAAAGCAGATATATAAAATAGGTATTACAAAATATATTAATACTTAGACTTGGGTGTTGTAAAGTGCATGGATATTGTAGAGTGTATGGGTATTGTACAGTGTGTGGGTGTTGTACAGTGTATGGGTGTTGTACAAGGGAGACTGGTCAGACTGTGGCAACTACCACGGGATCTCGCTGCTGTCCGTAGCTGGCAAGATTATCGCCCGATCCTCCTGAACAAACTTCTTCCTGAGGTGGAAAACTTCCTCCCAGAATCTCAATGACCTTTGCTGCCCGCCAGATAATGGAAAAGTGCAGAGAATAGCGTCGTGACCTGTACATGGCTTTCATCGACCTAACTAAGCCCTTCGACTCGGTCAACAGGGAAGTCCTCTGGTGGACCCTCAGCCGTTTTGGTTGCCCAGTAAAATTCATCGCCATTGTGAGGCAACTCCACGATGGCATGAACGGCAGTGTCCTGCACAATGGCACCCAGTCTGAGTTCTTCCCCATCCAAACAGAGGGTAAACAAGGATGTGTACTGGCACCAACTCTCTTTTCCATTTTCTTGGCTGCCTTCCTTACTCGTGCCAGTGATAATTTAGCCGCCGGGGTGGACATCGAGTATCGGATAAAGGGTCTTTTCAACATAAAACGACTCCAGGCAGGAACAAAGGTGTCTGCAGTTTCTATTACTGAACTTCAGTATGCAAACGACCTCACCCTAGTCGTTCATACTGAACGTGACCTACAGCAGATCCTGAACACCTATGCAGATGCGTATGCACACTTTGGCCTTGAGGTGAATGTATATTTGACTCGGATCCTTCTCTGTTACCCACTTTCGGTATCACGGCTCCCACCTGTCCACCACCGCGAACATCAATGAAGAGATTCAGCATCGGATCAGATGAGCATCTCATGCCTTAGGCTGACTCCGAAACCGTGTCTTCAGCTGTAGGGAGCTGAAATAATCTACAAAGTTATACGTATATCAAGCAGTGGTCCTCCCCACCCTGCTGTATGGCAGCGAGACATGGGTCACATACAGGAGGCACCTCAAGGCACTTGAAAACTTTAACCAACTTAGTCTACGTTCCAACCTCCGAGTTCACTGGGGAGACAAGAGAACTAATGCCAGTATTCTCGCTGACACCAACTGTAGGAGCATCGAGGCTACCATTATCCATGAACAACTACGCTGGACTGGCCATGTTACCCGCATGGACGACAGTAGACTGCCAAAGCAGCTACTTTACAGTCACCTAACGAATTGTAAATGTAACGCTGGCGGGCAACTGAAAAGGTATAAGGATAGTCTTAAGACAAGCCTGAAAAATGCTAACTCAACCCCCTCACCTGGGAGACGATCACTCCACACCGTAACGCTTGGAGGAGCACCACACAAGAAGGTGTCAATACTTTCGAGTTAGACTGACTGCATAACGAGGCAGACAAGCGCCAACACCGGAAAGATGCTGCCACCGCCCCTCCCGCACTAGATGTAGCCCTCCACACGTGCAACATCTGTGATCGACTCTGCCGGTCCCATATCGGCCTCATTAGTCACCTCAGTACTCACCAACCTAGGTGACATCCTTAATAACTCATATCATTGTATCACAGCTGGATGATCGTCATACTCGATTCTGTGTGACAGCAAAGTAGTAGTAGTAGTAGTAGTAGTAGTAGTAGTAGTAGTATATAGATGTTTATAAGAGTGGTGTTGTACAGTGTTGTACAGTGTATGGCTGTTGTACAGCGTTATACAGTGTTATACAGTGTTGTACAGTGTATGGCTTTTGTACAGTGTTGTACAGTGTATGGCTGTTGTACAGCGTTATACAGTGTTATACAGTGTTGTACAGTGTATGGCTGTTGTACAGCGTTATACAGTGTTATACAGTGTTGTACAGTGTTATACAGTGTTGTGTATGGTGTTGAGTGTATGGTTGTTGTACAGTGTTGTACAGTGTATGGCTGTTGTAAGTTAGTGTTGTACAGTGTTGTACAGTGTATGGCTGTTGTACAGTGTTGTACAGTGTATGATACTTTATGTTTAATGTCTCTGCAGGCAAGTTGTGTCAGGCTGAAGTCAACGAGTGTTTTCCCAGCCCGTGTGCTCGGGGCCACTGTGTCGACCTTGTCAACGACTACTACTGCCAGTGTCCTCAAGGCTGGGGAGGCAAACTTTGTGGCGAGGACTTGGGTGAGTGTTACTGTCCTTATCTGGGGTCTGATGTCCTTCCCTGGGGTCTGATGTCCTTCCCTGGGGTCTGATGTCCTTCCCTGGGGTCTGATGTCCTTCCCTGGCGTCTGATGTCCTTCCCTGGGGTCTGATGTCCTTCCCTGGGGTCTGATGTCCTTCCCTGGGGTCTGATGTCCTTCCCTGGCGTCTGATGTCCTTCCTGGGGTCTGATGTCCTTCCTGGGGTCTGATGTCCTTACTGTGCTCTCATGTCCTTAACTATCATCTATGTCCTTCCCTGGGGTCTGATGTCCTTCCCTGGGGTCTGATGTCCTTCCCTGGGGTCTGATGTCCTTCCTGGGGTCTGATGTCCTTCCCTGGGGTCTGATGTCCTCCTGGGGTCTGATGTCCTTCCCTGGGGTCTGATGTCCTTCCCTGGGTCTGATGTCCTTCCCTGGGGTCTGATGTCCTTAACTGTGCTCTCATGTCCTTAACTATCATCTATGTCCTTCCTCTGGGGTCTGATGTCCTTCCCTGGGGTCTGATGTCCTAACTGTGCTCTCATGTCCTTAACTATCATCTATGTCCTTCCCTTGGGGTCTGATGTCCTCCCTGGGGTCTGATGTCCTTAACTGTGCTCTCATGTCCTTAACTATCATCTATGTCCTTCCCTGGGGTCTGAGTGTCCTTCCCTTGGGGTCTGATGTCCTTAACTGCTCTCATGTCCTTAATCATCATCTATGTCCTTCCCTGGGTCTGATGTCCTTCCTGGGGTCTGATGTTCCTGACTTGGGGGTCTGATGTCATTAACTGGTGCTTTGATGTCCTTCCCTGGGGTCTGATGTCCTTCCTGGGGTCTAATGTCCTTCCCTGGGGTCTGATGTCCTTAACTGTGCTCTCATGTCCTTAACTACCATCTATGTCCTTCCCTGGGGTCTGATGTCCTTAACTGTACACTTTTACTTAAGAGACCCGTAACAAAGGACCCGATGCATGACCAGTACTTGTCAACAGTGTACCAGAGTCCATACTACAACTGTTACAACTACAACTGTTACACCTACAACTGTTACAACTACAACTGTTACAACTACAACTGTTACAACTACAACTGTTCAACTCAACTGTTACAACTACAACTGTTAAACCTACAACTGTCACAACTACAACTGTTACAATCACAACTGTTACACCTACAACTGTTACACCTACAACTGTTGCAACTACAACTGTTACACCTACAACTGTTACAACTACAACTGTTACAACTACAACTGTTACACCTGCAACTGTTACAACTACAACTGTTACAACTACAACTGTTACAACTACAACTGTTACAACTACAACTGTTAACCTACAACTGTTACAACTACAACTGTTACAACTACAACTGTTACAACTACAACTGTTACAACTACAACTGTTAACTACAACTGTTACAACTACAACTGTTATCCAACTGTTACAACTACAACTGTTACACCTACAACTGTTACAACTACAACTGACTTACAACTACAGCTGTTACAACTACAACTGTTACAACTACAACTGTTACAACTACAACTGTTACAACTACAACTGTTAACTACAACTGTTACAACTACAGCTGTTACCACAACTGTTACAACTACAACTGTTACAACTACAACTGTTACAACTACAACTGTTAACTACAACTGTTACAACTACAACTGTCTACAACTACAACTGTTACAACTACAACTGTTGCTCACAACGTTACAACTACAACTGTTACAACTACAACTGTTACAACTACAACTGTTGCAACCCACAACTGTCACACCTACAACTGTTACACCTAAAGTTAACTACAACTGTTACAACTACAACTGTTACAACTACAACTGTTACAACTACAACTGTTACAACTACAACTGTTACACCTACAACTGTTACACCTGCAACTGTTACACCTACACTGTTGCAACTACAACTGTTACAACTACAACTGTTACAACTACAACTGTTAAACTACAACTGTTACAACCAACTGTTACAACTACAACTGTTACAACTACAACTGTTACAACTACAACTGTTACAACTACAACTGTTACAACTACAACTGTTGCAACTGCAACTCACAACTGTTGCTTCACAACTGTCACAACTACAACTGTTACAACTACAACTGTTACAACTACAACTGTTACAACTACAACTGGTCACAACTACAGCTGTTACAACTACAACTGTTACAACTACAACTGTCGCTAACTACAACTGTCACAACTACAACTGTTACAACTACAACTGTTACAACTACAACCGTCACAACTACAACCGTCACAACCACAACTGTTACAACTACAACTGTTACAACTACAACTGTCACAACTACAACTGTTGCTAACTACAACTGTTACAACTACAACTGTTACAACTACAACTGTTACACCTACAACTGTTACACCTACAACTGTTAACCAACTGTTACAACTACAACTGGCAACTACAACTACACCTACAACTGTTACAACTACAACTGTTACAACTACAACTGTTACAACTACAACTGTCGCAACTCACAACTGTTACAACTACAACTGTTACAACTCATGAATTGTACAACTACAACTGTTACAACTACAACTGTTGCAATTCCACAACTGTTACATACTACAACTGTTACACCTACAACTGTTACAACTACAACTGTTACAACTACAACTGTTACAACTACAACTGTTACAACTACAACTGTTACAACTACAACTGTTACAACTACAACTGTTACACCTACAACTGTTACAACTACAACTGTTACACCTACAACTGTTACAACTACAACTGTTACACCTACAACTGTTACAACTACAACTGTTACAACTACAACTGTTACAACTACAACTGTTACACCTACAACTGTTACAAATTGTTACACCTACAACTGTTAAACCCACAACTGTTACAACTACAACTGTTACAACTACAACTGTTACAACTACAACTGTTACAACCACAACTGTTACACCTACAACTGTTACAACTACAACTGTTACACCAACAACTGTTACACCTACAACTGTTACAACTACAACTGTTACAACTACAACTGTTACAATTCACAACTGTTACAACTACAACTGTTCACAACTGTTACACCACAACTGTTTCACCAACAACTGTTACACCACAACTGTTACACCTACAACTATTACACCTACAACTGTTACACCTACAACTGTTACACCTACAACTGTTACAACTACAACTGTTACACCTACAACTGTTACACCTACAACTGTTACACCTACAACTGTTACAACTACAACTGTTACAACTACAACCGTTACACCTACAACTGTTACAACTACAACTGTTACAACTACAACTGTTAAACCTACAACTGTCACAACTACAACTGTTACACCTACAACTATTACACCTACAACTGTTACACCTACAACTGTTACACCTACAACTGTTACTATGCCAACTGTTACAACTACAACTGTTACAACTACAACTGTTACAAATACAACTGTTACAACTACAACTGTTCACCTACAACTGTTACACCTACAACTGTTACAACTACAACTGTTACAACTACAACTGTTACAACTACAACTGTTCACCTACAACTGTTACACCTACAACTGTTAGCAATACAACTGTTACAACTACAACTGTTACACCTACAACTGTTACAACTACAACTGTTACAAATACAACTGTTAACCTACAACTGTTACAACTACAACTGTTACAACTACAACTGTTACAACTACAACTGTTACAACTACAATGTTAACTCTACAACTGTTACACCTACAACTGTTACAACTACAACTGTTACAACTACAACTGTTACACCTACAACTGTTACACCAACAACTGTTACAACTACAACTGTTGCTAATCCAACTGTTACACCTACAACTGTTACACCTACAACTGTTACACCTACAACTGTTACAACTACAACTGTTACACCTACAACTGTTACACCTACAACTGTTACACCTACAACTGTTAACTCAGCAACTGTTACAACTACAACTGTTACACCTACAACTGTCACAACTACAACTGTCACAACTACAACTGTTACACCTACAACTGTTGCTAACTACAACTGTTACAACGTTACCAGCACCAAACTGTTACACCTACAACTGTTACACCTACAACTGTTCACCTACACATGCTTACCTGAACGTGCTCACTCTGTGTTCACCACACTTGTTCACCTGTGTTCATTCTCACGTGTTCACTTACACATGTTCACCTCTTTGTGTTCACCACACGTGTTCACCTACATGTGCTCGTTCTCAGTGTTCACCTAGTGTTCACCTATATATATATATATATATATATATATTCACCTGAACGTGCTCACTCTCATTGTTCACCTACACATGTTTACCTACACCTGTTCAACCCAGTGTTCACCTACTTGTTTTTACCTACACGTGCTCACCTACACGTGCTCACCCTCAGTGTTCACCTATGCATGTTCACCCTCAGTGTTCACCTACACGTGTCCACCTAAACGTGTTCACCTACATATGATCACCCTCAGTGTTCACCTGCATGTTCACCCTCAGTGTTCACCCTCATGTGTTCACCTATGCATGTTCACCCTCAGTGTTCACCTATGCATGTTCACCTCAGTGTTCACCTACGCGTGTTCACCCTCAGTGTTCACCTATGCATGTTCACCCTCAGTGTTCACCTACACGTGTCCACCTAAACGTGTTCACCTACACATGTTCACCCTCATGTGTTCACCTATGCATGTTCACCCTCAGTGTTCACCTATGCATGTTCACCTCATGTTCACCTACACGTGCTCATCTACACGTGTTCACCTACACATGTTCACCCTCATGTGTTCACCTATGCATGTTCACCCTCAGTGTTCACCTACCTTGCTTACCACCTAATCAGCGGCTCTTCCAGACGAGTGCGCCTCCTACCCCTGTATGAACGGTGCCACGTGTATAGACGGCGTGGCATCCTTCGTGTGTGACTGTGCCTATGGTTACAACGGCGAGCACTGTGACATACCAGGTAAGACTCTTATCTGCCACTATACTTTACAAATATAATATAATATAATATAATATAATATAATATAATATAGGTACTGTGACTAGAATTTATTTCCTAACATTATAATTATATTAGTAACACGACAGAGCATTTTGCCCGGTGTCTCCCGTTTCCTGCGAGTTTTTATAAATAATTATATGTTTCTTCACGTTACCATTGTGGATATATATATATATGCAGGGTATATCCACTAAAAATTATTGGGCAGAGTTACGGCGTGATACAATATGACGCGGGTGCCGAATAGTTTTTAGTGGGTTAAGTCCCTCTCACTAGTGCATTTACAGGAGCTCGTCAGGTTTTGTGCAGTGTGGCAGGACTGTATTTGGTTACAGGAAACTCGCAATAGTAAACATATTATGGAATCAAAGTAAAAATGTTCAAAATTAATATATAAATGTAAAAATTTGTGGAGTGTTTAAATGTTTGAGAAGAAATGCATGAAATAGATTATTATTAGATGGTATCTTTTGCCTAGTGGACGATGGTATAGCGAGGTGAAGTGACGGAGACATGTGGGGGGTGGGTGTGTGTGTGTGTGTGTGTGTGTGTGTGTGTCTGTGTCTGTGTTTGTGTGTGTGTGTGTGGTCGATATGGAACATAAACTGTCGTACGGTAGTCATTGATTATTACCTTGTATAGTTAAATGTGTATTACATTGAAAATTCGTAATGTACACCATTCATCACCACGATACAATGATTACCTCAAAATGGTAGACGAGAAGAAAACCTCCCTTTGTTGCCCGTGACGAATGAATATGAAATGTTGCATTGGCACCTCAAGTGTTGCCAATATGTTTCCATTTTATGAAAGCCGTGGACAGATGTGTGAACTCTCCACCGCACAGAATTTATTTAGAAACATATTCAACTCATATTGTTGCCTTCAGACTGGTTTTACAAAAGAAATGTCTGAAATGACAACTGATCTGAATATCTCATAAATAACACAAGTGTCAAACACTGATGACGGTAGTTATCAATGATCAGTCACCCTCGCTTGGCCCTGATTCCTTACACAACCAGACGTGACTGCACCGTCGGATACGGAGACAGATTGCAAGCATTATTATTATTACTCGTTTCATTTACTCTATTAGTATAGTAGATTGTTCTAGCAAGCAACAAGCACTTGTGAATAAAGAATAATTACAATTAACTTCAAACCTCCTCTTGCTCACACTATGGCCAAGGTTTAACATGAACAGTATGACTGTTATCTGCATAATATAGCAGACGAGAAAGATAATAGATATAAACTTAAGCTTCAAGTGAGTGTTAATAGTTCACGGACACCATCACTGTAGGTAGAGGGGCACCTGCCTCCACTTACCTCCCACCCCACATGTCTCCGTCACTTCACCTCCTTATACCATCGTCCACTAGGCAAAAGATACCATCTAATAACAGTCTATTTCATGCATTTCTTCTCAAACATTTAAACACTCCACAAATTTTTTACATTTATATATTAAGTTAGAAAATTTTTTCTTAGATTCCATAATATGTTTACTATTGCGAGTTTCCTGTAACCAAATACAGTCCTGCCACACTGCACAAAACCTGACGAGCTCCTGTAAATGCACTAGTGAGAGGGACTGTACACTGTAGAACTGAAGTAATGGACAGCCGCACGGAACCTTCCCTAGTGACCTCTGACAATGAGGTAAGTCGTAAGTTAAAACTATGATATCTATAATGTAAATATAATAAGAATTTTAGTATTAGCGGTTTAAAATGTTCTTAGTGTCAGAGGTCACTGGTGAAGGTTCCGTGCGGCTGTCCAGTACTTCAGTGTACAGTCACCTATAATAATCTTGTCATCTTTCCTCCTAAACCATGAACCCCGAGATTTAAACTCGTGAACCCGAAGCAGTAGACACTGATGCCTTTATTATTCTGTCCATAAATGCTTCAGTCAGGCGTCTTGATCTCGGGGTTCATGGTTCAGGAGGAAAGGCGACAGGACACTTGTGGTTACCACTTAACGTTGCCAATCCTCTCTCTCTCCCTGAGGTGTGAACCCTGAACTCTGAAGTGTGAATTCGAAGCATTCATCAGTGAGGGAGAGAGGGATATGTTTATGTGTGGGGAAGTGTGTATCAGTTAGCATAGATTACAATGCAGGATAACGCTTTGACAATACCAACAGGGTTTCCTCAGCTGAGTGTAATCGTCTAGCACAGCCAGATTAAAACACTAAAGTTACAATAGGATGAGAAGAGGGTGAATTAATGTTCTAAGTAAGGTGTTCCTTTGTAGAGCGGACGTTTAGGAGCAAATAAATTATGAATATGTTTGAATCTATATCTTGTAGAAGCAGGCGAGTTTTGTTTTACCCTTGACTACGAGATGGAACTTCCCCAGCTGAACAAAATCGTCTGTCGGTAGCCAGAATAAACTAGATAAAAAGACGTCGTGAAGAAGGGATTAATTAGCAAACATAAGAGCCAGGAAATGGGCAACACATATTTATTGTAATATAAAGGTGATGTGAACAAAAATAGTTTAGTTGGCAGCTGTCTGGGATAGAATCTGCAAATAACATTGTTCAGTTGTGCCAAACTGTGAGGTTAAAGGGTAAAAAAAATCGGTATTTATATTATTATCATTATCAAATGTGTAATTTATCACATAACTGCGAAAAAATCCGTGCCAGGTTACTACTGGGGGGTCTGGCACGGCCTTTCTTGTTTTGGGTAGGTGAAGATTACAGGTGAGGGGAAGTTATAGTTTGAAAATTAGAATTAGGGAGGAGGTAAGAGAGGGCTGGCTGAAGCCTAGCTAAGCTAATAGTGTGTTAGGGTTGTGTCTGGGTTGTTATTGTCTGTCGGTATAGGCACTAGACAGCCTCCCTATCCTATATGGGTGTTTTGAGGGCCTTATTTCGTATTCCCCACCCTACTGGCGGATGCTGGTCTAGGAAGTTGTCTATTGCCTGGCCGTAGATCGGGGGTGGTAATGGACCTTGAGATTTGTAACTTGGGAATCATGTATGGTTGTTGTCTGGTGAGTCTTTGAAGGAGTTCTTGCTCTGATCGTTCTATCTTTGCCAGACTCTGGTGGCAGGGTCTGTAGCTGCTGGTTGATGGGTTTTATTCTCAGGTCTCTGTATATCTCGGCTGTGGTTCTGGTGGTGCATTTTCACCTGTGACGAATCTCAGGGTTTATTTTGGACCACCTGTAATTTTAATAATTTAGTGGTGCTCATAGTATGAAGAGGTACTGCTGGGTAAGTTAATATTGGTATGATAAATGATGTAACCATGTGGAGTTTATTTTCAGGAAGCGCATTAAAGTGGTATAGTTTTCAGCTCTCTTCTGTCTTTTTCCCTTCCTGGTGTGGACATGAAGGGAGTAACCTGTCGTGGATATATGCAGGCCCAGGAGGGAGCCTCTGATTCTGTATTCTATCTGGGCATTATTGGTTACTAATGGATGGGTTTTCTTCTGCATAAGGATATCACTGTGAATTTCGGGAGACTGGTTTAGATTTTCCATTGTTTTTCGAAATTATTTACCCTTTCTAATTCCCGCCTGGTGTTGTCTACCTCTAGTGCTCGTGATTTTCCTTGATGTGTTGTTAATTGAGTGATGTCATCTGCATATATGATATCTTCGTTTCCGATTCTAGAAGGAGACAGAGTGTCATTTGCAGATTATATATAGGGTTGGAGAGAGGACGCTGCCCTGAGGGACTCCGCTCCTGAGGGGAAGGTCTTTCCTGTGTGTGGGGTTGGGGGTTGGGAGGGTTCTTTTGATCATTATTCATAAACCTTCATAATTATGTTTGCAAAATCTTATCTTTTATAATTTTTTTCGCCATTTGCCTGTTTTCGTGCTATTTGACCAGACTATTAGTGCTGTGCTAGTGTTAGTTCCTTCCACTGTGGCTGTTCACTCTTTCCACAGCACGCCAGCGATCTCCGTCTCTGCCCGAGCCTCTCTACGTGTACTTCTCTTCCTGACCAGAATCCTGTCCTGCCCAGCATACCCTCCTCGATGCCGGTGACTTCTACTGGCCTGCAACACAACACGGCACGTCAGTCACCCTGGCTTGCCCATTTGGTGTCCGAGCCTCAGCCAGAGATAACATTAGCACGGGTAACACCACCACACTGCCAGGGGCTTACACCACCACCCTCACCACCACCAACAACAACAAAAATTCCCGTTACAACAAATATGATGTCACGTGGTATGAGGATGGGTCGCCTCGCTCTACTCCGGCGCCGTTGTCACTCAGCCTGACGACTCACGCTCAGTGGAAAGGTGGCAGTTTTCGTATTAGCAGAAGGACTCGTAACGTAGAAATCCCCGCTAGTGCTTATAACACCAGCCCTTCGTCTCCTGTCTCAGAAGTAAGTACAATACGTAATTATCTCTAAAAAATGAATATAAATTAAATTAATGTTAGATACTTCACCTAACCTAACCCTCCAGGTAACGTTAGGATTGTGTAAATTAGGTGAAAGAAGATGAGTTGGATGGAGAGAACACACAAAACAAACTGATTCTCTATTAGTTAAGTTAACCAAACTTAAAGTATAATAATTTTTGTTTCTCTTAAGGTAAATGATCATGATGCCAGGCGGAGACTAATTGTATCCAACTTACGAGCATCACCCCAGGGACGGCCGGGGCAGAAAACAACAACAACAAGAAAAAGAAGAAAAAGAAGAGGATAAAGAAAAAGATCAAGAAAATGAACAACAAGAAAAACACCAACAACAAGAACAACAACAACAGGAAGATAGACCAGGTTGGTTGGTGCAGCAGACGACGAGAGAGCCAGACCCACAGAGTCACGTGGACCAACACCAGTCTCAGAGGACCACAGAGTCACCAGATGGTGTCAGGGGATCAACAGATGGTGTCAGGGGGTCAACAGATGGTGTCAGGGGGTCAACAGATGGTGTCAGGGGGTTAACAGATGGTGTCAGAGGGTCAACAGATGGTGTCAGAGGGTCAGCAGATGGTGTCAGGGGGTCAGAAAATGGCGCCACAGTGTCAGCAGATGGCGCCACAGAGTCAGCAGATGGTGCCAGAGGGTCAGCAGATGGTGTCGGGGTCAGAAAATGGCGCCACAGTGTCAGCAAGATGCGCCACAGAGTCACCAGATGGGTCAGAGGGCCAACAGATGGTGTCGGGGGTCAGCAGATGGTGCTAGCAGATGGTCAGCAGAGATGGAAAGCAGAGGGCGCAGATGGTGCCAGAGGGCCAGCCAGATGGCAGCAGAGGGTGCACAGAGGGTCAGCAGATGGTGCCAGAGGGTGGTGTGCACAGCAGCAGATGGCGCCACAGAGTCAGCAGATGGTGCCAGAGGGTCAGCAGATGGTGCCAGAGGATCAGCAGATGGTGCTAGAGGGTCAGTAGATGGTGCCAGAGGGTCAGGAGACAGGTTGAGCCGCCAAGAGAACAGAAGCAACAGACCAATAGCTGAGCCTCGTATTGGGAAAGGAGAGGCGGGGCGAGAACACAAGGTGGCAACACAATCTGTACGAGTGAGGACTGAAGCACCTGAGGCTGACGAAGGTAGAGCAGCGTCTGTCAGGGAGAAGAACTATTATCAACAAGAAACAGACCACAGGATTCCTCAGGTTAAAGAGAAACTATCTGATCAGTTAACAGCATATGTGAATAACTTTGAACAACAGAATAATGCTGAACAGTTAAGGATTAATGGAACGATATTATCCCAAATTGCAAGTTCAAGAAGAGAGGATTTGCCTCAGTATCTTCCCAGTGACGACGAGTTATTGAGACATTCTGAAATAGGTGAACAATTACCATCAAGAACTGTTAGAACATCAGTTGGTTCGCCACAGTTCACAAAAAGCCACAATGATAAAATAAAAGTGATGGAACCTCAGTATAGTGGAGCAACACGTTCATGCGTTCTTTTGCCAAACGGTACTGTTGTCTGGCAAGAAACAGATACATCGGTGTGTCGTGGAAAGGCGATGAAGGCTGCGGAAGACGCGGCCAAGAGTGTAGCCAACCTCACCTCCTCCCCCGCCACCATCAGTCCTCTCATGTTGACCAGAGCCGCACACCAGCTGTCAGCACTAGTGGAACACGCTCTTCAGGACCCAGCAGTAAGTTGTGTGTTAGTGTTGTGTGTTAGTGTTGTGTGTTAGTGTTGTGTGTTAGTGTTGTGTGTTAGTGTTGTGTTAGTGTTGTGTGTTAGTGTTGTGTGTTAGTGTTATGTGTTGTGTGTTAGTGTTGTGTGTTATGTGTTAGTGTTGTGTGTTAGTGTTGTGTTAGTGTTGTGTGTTAGTGTTGTGTGTTAGTGTTGTGTGTTAGTGTTGTGTGTTATGTGTTAGTGTTGTTGTGTGTTAGTGTTAGGTGTTAGTGTTGTGTGTTAGTGTTGTGTGTTAGTGTTATGTGTTAGTGTTGTGTGTTGCGTTGTGTGTTGTGTTGTGTGTTAGTGTTGTGTGTTAGTGTTGTGTGTTAGTGTTGTGTGTTAGTGTTGTGTGTTAGTGTTATGTGTTAGTGTTTTGTGTGTTAGTGTTGTGTGTTAGTGTTGTGTGTTAGTGTTGTGTGTTAGTGTTGTGTGTTAGTGTTGTGTGTTATGTTGTGTGTTAGTGTTATGTGTTAGTGTTGTGTTAGTGTTGTGTGTTAGTGTTGTGTGTTAGTGTTATGTGTTAGTGTTGTGTTAGAGTTATGTATTGTGTTGTGTGTTAGTGTTAGGTGTTAGTGTTGTGTGTTAGGTGTTATGTATTGTGTTGTGTGTTAGTGTTATGTGTTAGTGTTGTGTTTTAGGTGTTATGTATTGTGTTGTGTGTTAGTGTTAGGTGTTGTGTTGTGTGTTAGGTGTTATGTATTGTGTTGTGTGTTAGTGTTAGGTGTTAGTGTTGTGTGTTAGTGTTGTGTGTTAGTGTTATGTGTTAGTGTTGTGTGTGTTAGTGTTGTGTGTTAGTGTTGTGTGTTGTGTTGTGTGTTAGTGTTGTGTGTTAGTGCGGTTAGTGTTGTGTGTTAGTGTTGTGTGTTAGTGTTGTGTGCTGTGTTATGTGTTAGTGTTTGTGTGTTAGTGTTGTGTGTTAGTGTTGTGTGTTAGTGTTGTGTGTTAGTGTTATGTGTTAGTGTTGTGTGTTAGTGTTGTGTGGTTAGTGTTATGTGTTGTTTGTGTGTTAGTGTTATGTGTTAGTGTTGTGTGTTAGTGTTATGTGTTAGTGTTGTGTGTTAGTGTTGTGTGTTAGTGTTGTGTTAGTGTTGTGTGTTGCGTTGTGTGTTAGTGTTGTGTGTTAGTGTTGTGTGTTAGTGTTGTGTGTTAGTGTTGTGTTGTAGTGTTGTGTGTTAGTGTTGTGTGTTAGGTGTTGTGTGTTTGTGTTGGTGTTAGTGTTAGTGTTGTGTGTTAGTGTTGTGTGTTAGTGTTGTGTTTGTTATGTGTTAGTGTTTGTGTGTTAGTGTTGTGTGTTGTGTTGTGTGTTAGTGTTTGTGTGTTAGTGTGGTTAGTGTTGTGTGTTAGTGTTGTGTGTTAGTGTTAGTGTTATGTGTTAGTGTTGTGTTAGTGTTTTGTGTTGCGTTGTGTGTTAGTGTTAGTGTTATGTGTTAGTGTTGTGTGTTAGTGTTGTGTGTTAGTGTTGTGTTAGTGTTTTGTGTTAGTGTTGTGTGTTAGTGTTAGTGTTATGTGTTAGTGATGTGTGTTAGTGTTGTGTGTTAGTGTTGTGTGTTAGTGTTGTGTTAGTGTTATGTGTTAGTGTTAGTGTTATGTGTTAGTGTTGTGTTAGTGTTTTGTGTTAGTGTTATGTGTTGTGTGTTAGTGTTATGTGTTAGTGTTGTGTTGTGTGGTAGTGTTGTGTTAGTGTTTTGTGTTAGTGTTTTGTGTTAGTGTTAGTGTTGTGTGTTAGTGTTGTGTGTTAGTGTTGTGTGTTGTGTTGTGTGTTAGTGTTGTGTTAGTGTTGTGGTTAGTGTTGGGTGTTTTGTGTTAGTGTTTGTGTTAGTGTTTTGTGTTAGTGTGTGTTAGTGTTAGTGTTATGTGTTAGTGTTAGTGTTATGTGTTAGTGTTGTGTTAGTGTTGTGTGTTAGTGTTGCGTTAGTGTTGTGTGTTAGTGTTGTGTGTTAGTGTTGTGTGTTAGTGTTGTGTTAGTGTTTTGTGTTAGTGTTATGTGTTAGTGTTAGTGTTGTGTGTTAGTGATGTGTGTTAGTGTTGTGTGTTAGTGTTGTGTGCTGTTGTGTTAGTTTTGTTAGTGTTATGTGTTGCGTTAGTGTTATGTGTTAGTGTTAGTGTTGTGTGTTAGTGTTGTGTTAGTGTTTTGTGTTAGTGTTGTGTGTTAGTGTTGTGTTATGTGTTAGTGTTGTGTTAGTGTTGTGTTAGTGTTTGTGTTAGTGTTTTGTGTTAGTGTTATGTGTTAGTGTTAGTGTTATGTGTTAGTGTTGTGTGTTAGTGTTGTGTGTTAGTGTTGTGTGTTAGTGTTGTGTTAGTGTTATGTGTTAGTGTTATGTGTTAGTGTTATGCTTATGTGTTAGTGTTTGTGTTAGTGTTTTGTGTTAGTGTTGTGTGTTAGTGTTAGTGTTATGTGTTAGTGTTAGTGTTATGTGTTAGTGTTGTGTTGTTTTGTGTTAGTGTTATGTGTTAGTGTTAGTGTTATGTGTTAGTGTTGTGTGTTAGTGTTGTGTGTTAGTGTTTGTGTTAGTGTTGTGTGTTAGTGTTGTGTGTTAGTGTTGTGTGTTAGTGTTTGTGTGTTAGTGTTATGTGTTAGTGTTAGTGTTATGTGTTAGTGTTGTGTGTTAGTGTTGTGTGTTGTGTTGTGTTAGTGTTGTGTGTTAGTGTTGTGTGTTGTTATGTGTTAGTGTTAGTGTTATGTGTGTTAGTGTTGTGTTAGTGTTTTGTGTTAGTGTTAGTGTTGTGTTAGTGTTGTGTTAGTGTTTTGTGTTAGTGTTAGTGTTGTGTGTTAGTGTTGTGTTAGTGTTATGTGTTAGTGTTGTGTTAGTGTGTTAGTGTTGTGTGTTATGTGTTATGTGTTAGTGTTGTGTTATGTGTTAGTGTTGTGTGTTAGTGTTTGTGTTGGTTTGTGTGTTAGTGTTATGTGTTGTGTTGTGTGTTAGTGTTATGGTTAGTGTTGTGTGTTAGTGTTTGTGTGTTAGTGTTATGTGTTAGTGTTGTGTTAGTGTTTTGTGTTAGTGTTAGTGTTATGTGTTAGTGTTGTGTTAGTGTTGTGTGTTTGTTATGTGTTAGTGTTATGTGTTAGTGTTGTTAGTGTTTGTGTTGTGTGTTAGTGTTGTGTGTTAGTGTTATGTGTTAGTGTTGTGTGTTAGTGTTGTGTGTTAGTGTTATGTGTTAGTGTTGTGTGTTAGTGTTGTGTTGGTGTTAGTGTTGTGTGTTAGTGTTGGTTAGTGTTGTGTGTTAGTGTTGTGTGTTAGTGTTATGTGTTTTGTGTTAGTGTTGTGAATCAAGATGAAACAAGGTAGGAGGATTAATCTTCGTGTGATCCATAACTCTTATTAATGTGTTGGTGATGATGACAGGTCGCGAGCAACATGGTGTCAGCCTTGAGTAACCTGCTGGATGTGAACGATTCGGTTGTGGCAGAAGGCGAGAAAACCAGCAACGTCACCACACACTTAGTCAACACCATCAACACTTTAGTTCAAAATATACCTGTTGAAGTGGGTCATTCTGTCGACTTCAGGTAAATTATAACAACAGTCGGGTGAGAGAGAGAGTGTCGGGTGTGTGTGAAAGATCACTTGTATTAGAAAGTCAGGTTTGCGTGTGTGTGTGAGAACTAGATGATTTGAAAGTAAATTTTTACTCTGTTCACAAACTTTTCTCATTCACATTTACAATGAGAGGTATTCAAGCACGTTGTGTGTTTAGTTCTATACACAGAAACTGTCATAGCTATTAGGTGCAAAAAGTGGATGCTCTACACAGTCTTAATATGCCAGCACGGGCGACCTCTGGTGTAATGGTCAGCATCCTCGCCTCGCAAGCGAGCAGATCCGAGTTTGATCCCCGGGCAGGGTGAAACTATGAGCAAGTTTCTTTTCGCCATTTGCCTCTGTCTACCCAGCAGTAATTGGGAACCTGGATGTTAATCGTTTTTGCGGATCGTGTTCCGGGGTAATGGTTTGCCAGTGCAGTTGGCGAGTTGTCCGGTCTTCGGACTATTCCTTGACACTGGGTCATGCAGCTCGTTAACTTAGGGTGTGGTTGTTGTGTTGGTGACAGCTTCTACACCTTAAACAAATTCACGCCTAGGTGGCCCTTGGGCCGACCATCCTCGTTACATGAGGGGCAACCATCATTAATATGTCAGCTATATTTTCGTTTGAGCTAGTGCTGTACCATTGTTCAAGTGTATGGCCATATGTCTGGCCACACACTTTACATTTAGTCTTGTTCACATCTGCTTGAAGGATATACTGCCAGAGGTATTTATATATTAACCTAAGGCTAGCAGTTACAACATCTTGTGATCTTGTTACTTGGTGAACATTGGATTGACTAGTGCCTGTTTACAATTGTTTGCTTGCGTCAAATTCATCACAAGTTCCTTCCTAATTACAGTTTTAATTTTTTTTTACTGTTAAAAAAAATATAACTGTAATTAGGAAGGTTGTATTTAACAGTGTCTTTGTTTGACGCAAGATTAGCTACGTTATCACTCTGTCATGTTCTTTGAGGCCTATGTGAGAAGGGATCCACAGCAGTTTGATCTTGACACCCCGGTCAACGAGGCACTTATATTTGTGTCTGGCTTCAGAGACAAGCGCGTGACAACTTAAGGATGGCAAGGACAATCAATGATGATGAGAACTGTGTGTACCAGTGGTTTTTAACAACTTTTAGCTGTGAGTCTGGCAAATAATTCAGCTTTAGAGTGGATGCCAAGTAATGGAATATAACTCCTTTTTCAGTTGTATTACCGTTAGTTTGAGTTACACTGACAGCACTTCCAGCCCTCCCACAGGCGGTGTTAAGAGATCCATCAGTGTAGATGGTCTGTGTGATATTATCATCAGTCTGTAGAGTGTGTATGTGTTCAAGAGCTCTCAATTTGGCAGTGTGTTGGAGATAAATGCTTTGTATAATTAATTTTTTAGGCGGATACGTCGGTATTGTGATATCGAAGGGAACTGTCCGCCAGGTGGCAGGAAGCGCTGTTGTGTCTCAACTTTGTACAGGTGGTCTAGTCCAAACATCTTCATATGTAGCTGTAGTTTGGATCCATTTAGACTCAGTAGTCCCATGGTTTATACATTCTAGCAATTTTAAGGAAACAATGTTATCAGGATCACCACGCAGAAGCCTCAGGGCTATCATGAGGTTGACTTCAATTATTCTATTTTTAACACTGGGTATACCTAGTTCTTTCCTCATATTAAGTACTTTAGTGCTCATGGGACATCCTAGGATAACTCTTGAGGGCTTTATTTTGCATTCTTTTCGAGCTTGTCAATATTTTGTTTTTCTCTCACAGAGGACCAGGACAGATGCATGTTAATCTAGCAGACTTTACATAGTGTACCCGGTAAAATTCTGTTGGGTCTCAGGCTGTCAGTACATTGGCGGGTTAGCTGTTGTATGGTAGGTGAGGTACAGGTGATAGTTAGCTGTTGTATGGTAGGTGAGGTACAGGGGATAGTTAGCTGTTGTATGGTAGGTGAGGTACAGATAGTTAGTGTTGTATGGTAGGTGAGGTACAGGGGATAGTTAGCTGTTGTTTGGTAGGTGAGGTACAGGTGATAGTTAGTGTTGTATGGTAGGTGAGGTACAGGGGATAGTTAGCTGTTGTATGGTAGGTGAGGTACAGGGGATAGTTAGCTGTTGTATGGTAGGTGAGGCAGGTGATAGTTATTGTTGTATGGTAGGTGGGTACAGGTGATAGTTAGCTGTTGTATGGTAGGTGAGGTACAGGTGATAGTTAGCTGTTGTATGGTAGGTGAGGTACAGGGGATAGTTAGCTGTTGTTTGGTTGTGTTTTTTTATGAAAATTAAAATTGTGGTATTTCCTCAAGTTCCGAAATGCAAGGTATTTGGTCAGGCCATTTTTTTTTACTTCCAAACGACATATTTTTGGAAAGTTAAAACTAACGAGTTTATTTAGTAAAGATAGTCTATATTTCTTTTGGAAAATGTATATGAAGGTGATTTAAAACTTACGCACACATTATGATTTATATTTTCTAAATATCTTTAATCATTTCAAAAGTCATTAATTTAAATTAAATACTCGATTCTTACACCAGCATGTAGAATGGTCCTGTTGAATGAAATTTGAACAAAATCCAGGATATGAACCCAAGTGCATAAACTCAAATATTAAACACACACACACACACAGACACGCACACACACACACACACACACACACACACACACACACACACACACACACACACACACACTAAAGATCCCTGTTGTTTCAGATCAACTAATCTTGTACTGGAGGCGAGGCTGGTAGACGCCGCCGCCGCTACAGACAACATTACTTTCACTCCTCTACCGACTGATGACCATGACAGCAGACACAAGAGAAGTATGGAGTCTTCCCTTACACAGGTATGTTTATGCATCACTCTTTATAGCAGTGTTCTCTTGTTGAAGACGTGTGAGGTACTGTGGCTGTGTGAGGTACTGTGGCTGTGTGAGGTACTGTGGCTGTGTGAGGTACTGTGTCTGTGTGAGGTACTGTGGCTGTGTGAGGTACTGTGGCTGTGTGTGGAGGCACTGTGGCTGTGTGAGGTACTGTGGCTGTGTGAGGTACTGTGTCTGTGTGGAGGTACTGTGGCTGTGTGAGGTACTGTGTCTGTGTGAGGTACTGTGGCTGTGTGAGGTACTGTGTCTGTGTGAGGTACTGTGTCTGTGTGAGGTACTGTGTCTGTGTGAGGTACTGTGGCTGTGTGAGGTACTGTGGCTGTGTGAGGGATGGCGCATAAGCCCACTATCATGTGGACACGTCATGGCGCCTACCAACCACTGCCCCACTGCCTTGCTGATTAACCTTGATAAGTAAAAGGATACGGGAGTAAACACCGAACTAAAAATCACCGGTGGATGAAGGCAATGCATGATGGACAGGTTACTAAGGCGAAACCAAACAAACTTGGCTATCGGCAGTCCATTGCAACACTTTCACCACTAGATCAGGAAAAAGGGAGAGCCAAGATGTGTGGTTGCAGCCTGTGCTCCTGCCTCACCACATAAATCAACTCACGTGCAGCCAACACCCAGCTCATCATACTTCTCATCATCATCAAAACCCCTATACCCCCACAAGTCCTAGGGCAACGGACGAGTGGCGACGGGGACAAGCAGAGAGTACTGTCGGGAGTCTCTAGTCACAACTCTGCACATGAGCGGCACAGATAAGATCGTGGTTTATACACTGACATCTAGGCAGCAGTGCAATCCGATCCTGTCTGTGCGACTAAGCAGCCCTTTCGAGAGCCGCTCTGCTCACCCCACATGGGGAGAGGGCTAATAAAGGTGTCCTAAACAGCCTGTCTAAAGAACCCAACCTGGCTGAGCAACCGCACCCAGTAAGGTCATCGTTATGCGGTCGAAAAGACAGTCATAATCACAGATCAAATAAAAAAAAAAAACTATACAACCTCTTACGGTCACTGGATGGAATGTCAGGACCCTTCTGGATACTGGCACAAATGAGCGTCCTGAAAGAAGAGCTGCCCTTGTGACAAAACAGCTGGCGAGGTATAACATCGACATACCAGCCATTAGTGAGTCCTGGCTCCCAGACGAGGGTCAACTCAAGGAACGGGGTCTGGCTATACCTTCTTTTGGAAGGGTAATCCTGCTGCGGAGAGAAAACGCATTTATGGAGTTGGCTTTGATATCCGCCAATGCATCCTAAACAGGTTACAGAAATGTCTGTTGGGATCAATGAGCGCCTCATGACGCCCCGAGTCCCACTGGATCATTCACGTCATGCATTCTTCATCAGTGCATACGTCCCAACACTGGATGCAGAGGATGACATCAAGGAGGCCTTTTTCGCCGACATTGACAGACTGCTGACCTCTATCCCCAGAAAAAATAAGGTTCTGCTCCTTGATGACTTCAATGCCAGAGTCGGCGGAGATGCTGGCATTTGACAGGGAACCATAGGGAGAAATGGACTAGGCAAGTGTAATCCCAACGGCCTACTCCTCCTCAGCAAGTGTGCTGCACACAACCTATCACCAATACCTTCATTAGGCAAACCGACAAGTTCAAGGATTCGTGGCAACACCTACAATCCAGACACTGGTATCTTATTGACTATGTCATTGTCAGAGAAAGAGATCGCCGAGATGTCCTCATCAACCGTGCCATGCGTGGCTCAGACCACTGTGACACTGATCATCGTCAGAGCCAAGCCCTCACTTCACGGCGCGCCAAAACGATGAAGGCAGCAATTCACTGGAAGAGGTTTTAACACTAAGCGTCTGGAGGATCCAGCAGTAGCACATGCTTTCAGAGAGCAGCTCGAGCATGGGCTGATAAAGAACCCGACAACAAACAACCCAATTCCCAGTGCCAAATAAATTCACGACACTGTCATGGCAAAAGTCTGCAGAGACCCTCGGCCAGATCGAAAGAATACACCAGGACTGGTTTGATGAAAATGACCCGGAAATCAATATACTCGTCGATGATAAACGTGCTTAGTTAGCTGACTGGCAGAACAACCCTCAGTCTCGGACCAAAGCTGACACTGTCTGCAAGAAGAAAGCGTCAGCCCAGCACGAACTTTGCGATCTAAGGATCGACTGGTTTAAAAATAAAACATTTGAAAGACAAAAACTTGCAGAACAACACAAGATGCACGAATTTTTCAATTCCACTAAAACATTTTATGGGCTAATCACTCCTGGAACAGCCCCCCTCCGCTTATCCGATGGTAACTCGCTAATTAAAGACGAAGGAGGCATCCTATGTGGATGTTCTGACTACCCAGCAGGTCCCTCAGCATCCAGAGCTGACCCACCTCAGCTATCCTCCATCCCTGGATGAGGTAACTACTACCATCAGGCCCTGATGGAATCCCACCTGTCTCGATTCTCCTGCAAAATTAGTGGGAAAAGGAGAAAATCCCCCAAGCTCTTTAAGACGCCTCCATCATCAATATTTATAAGAACAAGGGAGACCGGTCAGACTGTGGCAACTACCGTGGGATCTCGCTGCTGTCTGTAGCTGGCAGGATTATCGCCTTAGTCCTCCTAAACAGAGTTCTTCCTGAGGCGGAAAACTTACTCCCAGAATCTCAATGTGGCCTTAGACCATCACATGGTATCACTGACATGATCTTTGCTGACCATCATATACAGGAAAAGTGCAGAGAACAGCGTCGTGACCTGTACATGGCTTTCATCGACCTAACCAAGGCCTTCGACTCGGTTAGCAGGGAAGCCCTCTGGTGGACCCTCAGCCGTTTTGGCTGCCCACCAAAATTCATCGCCATTGTGAGGCAACTCCACGATGGCATGAACGGCAGTGTCCTGCACAATGGCACCCAGTCTGAGTTCTTCCTCATCCAAACAGGGGTTAAACAAGGGTGTGTACTGGCACCAACACTCTTCCATTTTCTTGTTTGCCTTCCTTACTCGTGCCAGTGCTAATTTAGCCGGCGAGGTGGACATCCAGTACTGGATGAAGGGTGTTTTAAACATAAGATGACTCCAGGCAGGAGCAAACGTGTCAGCAGCTTCCATTACTGAACTTCAATATTCAGACAATTTCACCCTTGTAGCTCACATTGAACGTGACCTACAGGAGATGCTGAACACCTACACAGATGCGTATGCACATTCGGCCTGGAGGTTAATGGATTTAAGATTCAGATTCTCTTTCAGCCTGCCCCTGGTTCAACCACACCTCCACCACCCATTCATCTTAACGGTACTACCCTCTCTAATGTTACTTACTTTCGGTATCTCGGCTCCCACCTGTCCACCACCGCGGATACCGATGAAGAGATTCAACATCGGATCAGATGTGCCTCTCATGCCTTTGGCAGACTCCGTACCCGTGTCTTCAGCTGCAGGGAGCTTAAATTATCTACAAAGTTGCACGTATATCGAGCTTTGGTTCTCAACACCCTGCTATATATCAGCACTTGAAAACTTCCACCAACTTAGTCTACGTTCCATCCTCCGAGTTCACTGGGAAGACAAGAGAACAAATACCAGTATTCTTGCTGACACCAACTGTAGGAGCATCGAGGCTACCGTTACCCACGAACAACTACGCTGGACTGGCCATGTTACCCGCATGGACGACAGTAGACTGCCAAAGCAGCTACTTTACAGTCACCTAACGAATAGTAAACGTAACGCTGCCGGGCAACTGAAGAGGTATAAGGATAGTCTTAAGACAAACCTGAAAAAGTGCCAAATCGACTCCCTCACCTGGGAGACGATCACTCCACACTGTAATGCTTGGAGGATCACCACATAAGAAGGTGTCAATACTTTCTAGTAAGCCCGACTGCATACCGAGGCAGACAAGTGCCAATGCCGGAAAGACGCTGCCGCACCCCCCCTCCCGCACTATATGTAGCCCCTCACACGTGCAGCATCTGTGGACAATTCTGCTGGTCCCGTATTGTCCTCTGTAGTCTCCTCAGTACTCACCAACCAAGGAGACATCCTTAGTAACTCATATCATTCTATCATGGCTGGATGATCGTCATACTTGAGTCCGAGTGACAGCAAAGTAGTAGTCGTGTGTGACAGCAAAGTAGTAGTCGTGTGTGACAGACACAGTACCTCACACAGACACAGTACCTCACACAGACACAGTACCTCACACAGACACAGTACCTCACACAGACAGTACTTCATAGGGTTATAAGAAAATTCTTTTTGATGTTTGTAATAATAACTTAGTGTTGTTTGTATAATATTAAAGTTATCAATTGTGTTGTCCACAGGAACTGTTCTTAAGACTGCCTCCACAAGTACTAAGTAAGGCAGGCCAAGACCACGTCAGACTAGAGTTTGTGTCTTATTCCAACGATAAGTTTTTTAGGGATGATCGTGGGGACGGGATGCCTGTGATCACTGCCAGGGTCACCAACACTGTGGTAACCAACCTAACTCAACCTGTTGTGTACCATATACCAGCTGGGGAGCACCACCTCCCTCTCTGTGTCTACTGGGACGACCTCAGTGAGTACTGTTATTGCACAGTGGGGCGGACATATTTGTTTTCATTTTCTCTGTGTGGCTGTTGTTATATATTTTAAATATTACTAAACCTTAATTATTGGTGCCTTTTGGGATGTGCGAGGTGTGGGACTACACCCTATTATTGTATAACCAACTGTAATAATAAGCACTGTTATATAATCAACGATAACATAAACGATTGTAATATATAACCAATTGTCTTCATACTGTAAGATCACGAGTGGTCAGAGGTAGGCATGACAACAGTGACAGTGGGAAGCATGACAACGTGTCAAGCCACTCACCTGACAGCATTCTCCATCCTCTTGGACCCTTTGCCATCTTCCTTCGGCATCCACGGTCAGGCGCTCTCCATCATCACCTACATAGGCCTGGCACTGAGCACAGCTGGCCTCACCGCTACAGTAGCTACCTACGCTTTGTTCAGGTATTTGATTGGTGTACGTTCGTTTTAGCGGTGTTTCTGCCACCTTTCCTGCCCGGGGTGTGGCGATAACAGCCTCTAGTTTGTTGTTAATGTTGAGTTATTATTATAATATTAGTTATTAAGATAATATTGTTGTTATTGTTGTGACAATAATACTGTACACGTACTATATGTATTACACTACCCTGAATATCTTAAGTGTCAGATACTTCCCTGAACACGTCTTATGTGTCAGATACTTCCCTGAACACGTGCCTCTTATATATTAGATACTTTCCTTAAATAATATGTATCTTACGTGTCCAGGACTCTCAACCGTGACCGAAGTGGGAAAATAGTGATGAATTTGTCGTTGGCGCTCCTCTTGCTCAACCTTTTGTTTATCGTGGCAGCACAGCTGAAGCCGCCCTCACCTGCCTGTACCGTTCTCGCAGCTGCTGTAAGTGTCAGGGTGTGTTAAGTGGGTGTCAGGGTGTGTTAAGTGAGTGTCAGGGTGTGTAAGTGAGTGTCAGGGTGTATTTATTGAGCGTAAGGGCGTTTTAAGTGTCAGGGTGTGTTAAGTGAGTGTCAGCGTGTGTTAACTGTCAAGGTGTGTTGAGTGAGTGTCAGGGTGTGTTAACTGGTTTGATGAAAATAATCCGGCAATCAAATTACTCATCGATGATAATCGTGCTGCTTTTACTGACTGGCAGAACAACCCTTAGTCTCGGACTGAGAAGAAAGTGGCAACCCAACAGGAACTTTACAACCTAAAGAACGACTGGCTTAAAAATAAAGCATGTGAAGCACAAAAACTTGCAGATCATCACAAGATGCACGAATTTTTCATTTCCACTAAAATATTTTATGGGCCAGTCACTCGTGGCACACCCCCTCCGCTCATCTGAGGGTAACCTCATAATTAAAGACGATGAAGGACTCCTTCAGCGCTGGAAAGAGCACTACCATTCATTGCTCAACCGAAACACCCATGTGGATGTCCTGATTACCCATCATGTCCTTCAGCATCCAAAGCTAATCCACCTCAGCTATCCTCCACCCCTGGATGAGGTAGCTACTGCCATCAAACAGATGAAAAATATCAAAGCCTCAGGGCCTGGAAGACCTCTGCTTACCAGCCGTCTCCACTCTCTCCTGGAGAATATATGGGAAAAGGAGGAAATCCCCCAAGCTCTTAAAGACGCCTCCATCGTTAATATTTATATGAACAAGGGTGACTGGTCAGACTGTGGAGACTACCGTGGGATCTCACTGCTGTCCGTAGCTGGCAAGATTATCACCCGAGTCCAACTAAACAGACTTCTTCCTGAGGTGGAAAACTTCCTCCTAGAATCTCAATGTGGTTTTAGATCATCACGTGGCACCACTGACATGATCTTTGCTGCCCGCCAGATACAAGAAAAGTGCAGAGAACAGCGTCGTAGCGGGTACAAGGCTTTCATCGACCTAACCAAGAACTTCGACTTAGTCAACAGGGAAGCTCTCTGGTGGACCCTCAGCCATTATTTCTGCCCACCAAAATTCAGTCCCATTGTGAGGCAACTCCACGATAGCATGAACGGCAGCGTCCAGCACAACTGCACCCAGTCAGAGTTCTTCCTCATCCAAACAGGGATTAAACATGGGTGTGTAATGGCACCATCTCTCTTTTCCATATTCTTGGCTACCTTTCTTACTCGTGCTAGTGCCAATTTACCCTGTACATTGAGTACTGGATGAAGGGTCTTTTCAACATAAGACGACTCCAGGCAAGAACAAAGGTGTCGGCAGTTTCCATTACTGAAATTCAGTATGCAGACGACCTCACCCTTGTTGTTCACACTGAACACGACCTACAGGAGATCCTTAACACCTACGCAGACGCGTATGCACACTTCGGCCTTGAGGTGAATGTACGTAAGATTCAGATTCTCTTTTAACCTGCCCCTGGTTCAGACACACCTTCACCATCTATCCAGCTTAACGGTACTACCCTCTCTAATGTTGCCCACTTTTTGTATCTCGGCTCCCACCTGTCCACCACCACGGACATCGATGAAGAGATTCAGCATCGGATCAGATGTGCATCTCAATCCTTTGGCAAACTCCGAAATCGTGTCTTCAGCTGTAGGGAGCTGAAATTTTCTACAAAGCTGCACGTATATCGAGCAGTGGTCTTCCCCACCCTGCTATATTGCAGTGAGACATGAGTCACATACGGGAGGCACCTCAAGGCACTTGAAAACTTTCACCAACGTAGTCTACGTTGCATCCTATGAGTTCGCTGGGAAGACAAGAGAACAAATGCCAGTATTCTCGCTGACACCAACAGTAGGAGCATCGAGGCTACCATTATCCATGAACGACTACATTGGACTGGCCTGCATGGACGACAGTAGACTGCCAAAGCAGCTACTTTACAGTCACCTAATGAATAGTAAACGTAACGCTGGCGGACAACTGAAGAGGTATAAGGATAGTCTTAAGACAAACCTGAAAAAGTGCCAAATCGACCCCCTCACCTGGGAGACGATTACTCCACATAACACTTGGAAGAACACCACTTGAAAATTTATCACTGCTTTCGAGTTAGCCCGACTGCATAACGAGGCAGAGAAACGCCAAAGCTGGAAAGACGCTGCCGCCGCCTCTCCCGCGTTAGAATGTAGCCCTCCACATGTGCAACATCTGTGGACGATCCTGCCGGTCCCGTATCGGCCTCTTTAGTCACCTCAGACCTCACCAACCTAGGTGACATCCTTAATAACTCATATCATTATATCACAGCTGGATGATCGTCATACTCGATTTCAAGTGACAGCAAAGTAGTAGTAGTAATAGTAGTGTGTGTGTGTATGTTAAGTGGTGTGTGTATGTATTAGGAGCATGTGTGTGTTTGTGTTAAGTGGTGTGTATGTATTAGAAGTGTATATTAAGTGTGCATGTTTGTGTGTGTGTGTATGCATAGAAATGAACAAATATACCACAGTACACACACACACCCACAGCTCCACTACCTGGTGATAGCTGCCTTCGCTTGGATGTTAGTGGAGGCAGCCAACATGTACCAACTCCTCATCACCGTGTTCGCCTCAGCAGAGACCAACTTTATGGCCAAGAGAGTGTTCGCTGCCTGGGGTGAGTTCTTGTGTGTCAACGTCTGCCTACATTTTGTATTAATTAGTGTTACAGTATTAGTATTACAGTGTAGATCACCTGAACAATGAACCTCCCGCTCATTTCATCTGAAGATAAAACACTCTGATGAAAAACTAACAACCTACCATAACCTACCCTACACTACCATAACCTACCATAACATAACCTACACTAACTTAACCTACCATAACCTACCCTACACAAACTTAACCTACCATAACCTGACCTACACTACCATAACCTACCATAACCTGACCTACACTACCATAACCTACCATAACCTACACTAACTTAACCTACCATAACCTACCCTACACTAACTTAACCTACCATAACCTGACCTACACTACCATAACCTACCATAACCTACCCTACACTAACTTAACCTACCATAACCCAACCTACACTCAATCCTAACCTACCATAACCTGACCTACACCAATCCTTAACTCTACCATAACCCAACCTATTAATTAACTTAACCTACCATAATATAAGAATTATTATATATTATTACATAGATGAACTTGTGTTGCAGGAGCACTCATCATAGTGTTGTTGTGTTGGTAATGAGTACTCTACTATAGTGGGGTTGTTGTGTTGCAGTACTCATCATAGTGTTGTTGTGTTGCAGGAGTACTCACCATAGTGTTGTTGTGTTGCAGGAGTACTCATCATAGTGTTGTTGTGTTTTAGGAGTACTCATCATAGTGTTGTTGTGTTGCAGGAGTACTCATTATAGTGTTGTTGTGTTGCAGGGGCTCACCATAGTGTTGTTGTGTTGCAGGGGCTCACCATAGTGTTGTTGTGTTGCAGGAGTACTCACCATAGTGTTGTTGTGTTGCAGGAGTACTCATTATAGTGTTGTTGTGTTGCAGTACTCATCATAGTGTTGTTGTGTTGCAGGAGCTCACCATAGTGTTGTTAAAGTTGCAGGAGTACTCATCATAGTGTTGTTGTGTTGCAGGAGTACTCATTATAGTGTTGTTGTGTTGCAGGAGCTCACTATAGTGTTGTTGTGTTGCAGGAGTACTCATCATAGTGTTGTTGTGTTGCAGGAGTACTCATCATAGTGTTGTTGTGTTGCAGGAGTACTCATCAAAGTGTTGTTGTGTTGCAGGAGCTCACTATAGTGTTGTTGTGTTGCAGGAGTACTCATCATAGTGTTGTTGTGTTGCAGGAGTACTCATCATAGTGTTGTTGTGTTGCAGGAGCTCCCATCGTGGTAGTAGCAGCAGCTCTTATCGCTGACCTGGACGTGTACGGCGATGAGAGTCACGGCTTCTGCGTCATCAGCCCCAGACCTAACCCAGCTGTCTACTACTCCACATATATGGGTAACTATTAACCTAACCTAACCCAGCTGTCTACTACTCCACATATATGGGTAACTATTAACCTAACCTAACCTAACCTAACCTAACCCAGCTGTCTACTACTCCACATATATGGGTAACTATTAACCTAACCTAACCTAACCTAACCCAGCCGTCTACTATTACCCACATATGGGCAATCTATTAACTCCAAATCAACTCCAACCCAGTTGTCTACTACTCCACATATGGGTAACTATTAACCCAACCTAACCTAACCTAACCCAGCTGTCTACTACTCCACATATATGGGTAACTATTAACCTAACCTAACCCAGCTGTCTACTACTCCACATATATGGGTAACTATTAACCTAACCTAACCTAACCCAGCTGTCTACTACTCCACATATATGGGTAACTATTAACCTAACCTAACCCAGCTGTCTACTACTCCACATATATGGGTAACTATTAACCTAACCTAACCTAACCTAACCTAACCTAACCCAACCCAGCTGTCTACTACTCCACATATATGGGTAACTATTAACCTAACCTAACCTAACCTAACCTAACCTAACCTAACCTAACCTAACCTAACCTAACCAATCTTTGTTATATAAGATGTAATATATTTATTTGTTGCAGGACCCATCTGTTGTGTCTTAATGGTGAACTGTATAGTGTTCGTGATGGTGACTCGTGTGGTGTGTGGGAGACGACCTCGCTCACACAAACCTCGCTCACCCTCCACCACACCCAGTAAGGAGTCTCCCATCACCCTAGCCCAGGTAAGACTCACCCTTATCACCTGTACCTCACCTACCATACAACAGCTAACTATCCCCTGTACCTCATCTACCATACAACAGCTAACTATCCCCTGTACCTCACCTACCATACAACAGCTAACTATCCCCTGTACCTCACCTACCATACAACAGCTAACTATCACCTGTACCTCACCTACCATACAACAGCTAACTATCACCTGTACCTTACCTACCATACAACAGCTAACTATCACCTGTACCTCACCTACCATACAACAGCTAACTATCACCTGTACCTCACCTACCATACAACAGCTAACTATCACCTGTACCTCACCTACCATACAACAGCTAACTATCCCCTGTACCTCACCTACCATACAACAGCTAACTATCCCCTGTACCTCACCTACCATACAACACTCTATCACCTGCCATACAACAGCTAACTATCCCCTGTACCTCACCTACCATACAACAGCTAACTATCACCTGTACCTCACCTACCATACAACAGCTAACTATCACCTGTACCTCACCTACCATACAACAGCTAACTATCCCCTGTACCTCACCTACCATACAACAGCTAACCATCCCCTGTACCTCACCTACCATACAACAGCTAACTATCCCCTGTACCTCACCTACCATACAACAGCTAACTATCACCTGTACCTATCACCTGTACAACAGCTAACTAACTTGGTAATGTAATAGAGAAATGAGCTAGAATTAGTAACAGGTCATCCACTCTACAAACTGAACTATTTGCCAAACTCACAGCCCTGAAACTTGTTGAAGACACTGCCAGTCTCATCACTGACTCCTTATCCTCACTACTTGCTCTTGATACCCTAAACTCAGATTGTCACCCGCTTGTCACTGAAGCCAGACACAAGCACATGTGTCTTGTTGACGAGGGTATCAGGATCAAGCTGCTGTGGATCCCCTCTCACATAGGCATTAGTGAACGTGATAGAGTTGATGCCTTGGCTAAACTCGCGTCCAACAATGACAATGTTGGGTACATTCTAGAACTGCCAAACAGAAACCTTAAAAACTGTAATCATTAAAGAACCTGCTGATAAATTTGACTCAAGCAAACAAGTGCAAACAGGCACTAGTCGATCCATTGTTTACCATGATGAGCTGTACCAAGTGAAACATGTATATGGAGCAAGTAACAAGATCACTAGATAACAAGATGTTGTAACCTAAAGTAACATTTTTATAATAATAAACTATTAATTGTTATTTAAGGTCATGAGAAGTTAACAAATGTTCGTATATTTGTTAAAACAATGAAGAAAATTATATTAATGAATTAGCAACTCAACTACAACCACAGCTGCCACAAGATTGTTACATTAAATTTTTCTTCATTATATGACGTAAGAGACGGCCTCAACGGGTTTGTGTGAACCTTCATCATCCTCACTGAGACAGATAGTGAAGTAATATTTAGATAGATAGATATATAGACTTGTATTGTGTGTAATAAACGTTTTCGATGAACCTAACGGCAATCTAAGGGCAATGGTGAGTGGCTGAGAACAGTTGATGAGCCTATTAGGAATGTAAGGGCAATGGTGAGTGGCTGAGAACAGTTGATGAGCCTATCAGGAATGTAAGGGCAATGGTGAGTGGCTGAGAACAGTTGATGAGCCTATCAGGAATGTAAGGGCAATGGTGAGTGGCTGAGAACAGTTGATGAGCCTATCAGTAATGTAAGGGCAATGGTGAGTGGCTGAGAACAGTTGATGAGCCTATCAGGAATGTAAGGGCAATGGTGAGTGGCTGGAGAACAGTTGATGAGCCTATCGGTAATGTAAGAACGTGGTGAGTGGCTGAGAACAGTTGATGAGCCTATCCAGGAATGTAAGGGCAATGGTACGGTGGCTGAGAACAGTTGATGAGCCTATATCAGTAATACTTGGGGCAATGGTGAGTGGCACAAGGGGAACAGTTGAATGTTTATATTAGACAGTGTTGCTGGTAATTCAAGACCAGGATACTGCCTACAGTGAACACAAGGCTGGGTGCAGTGCTGTGGGCTGGGTGCAGTGCTGTCAGGCTGGGTGCGATGTTGTCAGGCTGGGTGCAGTGCTGTCAGGTTGGGTGCAGTGCTGTCCGGGCTGGGTGCAGTGCTGTCAGGCTGGGTGCAGATGCTGTCAGGCTGGAGTGCAGTGCTGTCGGAGCTGGAGTGCAGTGCTGTCAGGCTGGGTGCAGTGCTTAACTGTCCAGGCTAAGGTGCAGTGCTGTTAGGCTGGTGCACAGTGCTGTCAGGCTGGGTGCAGTGCTGTCAGGCTGGGTGCAGTGCTGTCAGGCTGGGTGCAGTGCTGTCAGGCTGGGTGCAGTGCTGTCAGGCTGGGTGCAGTGCTGTCAGGCTGGGTGCAGTGCTGTCAGGCTGGGTGTAGTGTTGTCAGCGTGATATACTGTTGCCAGGATGTGTAGTGTTGTCAGCGTGATATACTGTTGCCAGGATGTGTGGTGTTGTCACCGTGATATACTGTTGCCAGGATGTGTAGTGTTGTCAGCGTGATATACTGTTGCCAGGATGTGTAGTGTTGTCAGCGTGATATACTGTTGTCAGGCTGGGTGTAGTGTTGTCAGCGTGATATACTGTTGCCAGGATGTGTAGTGTTGTCAGCGTGATATACTGTTGTCAGGATGGGTGTAGTGTTGTCAGCGTGGTACATATAACACATCACTTTACAATGTATTATAATATGTTTTTACCGTCACCAGGTGCGGGGAGCGGTGACGGTGGTGGCTCTGCTGGGTGTTACGTGGGTGGCAGGAGCGGTCAGTGTTGGCTGGGCTCGCATAACACTGCAGTACATCTTCTGCGTGACCACACCACTACAGGGGGTGATAATATTCGTTGTCCGTGTGGCTCAGCACCCCGAGGCTCGCGCTGCATGGATAACATTGTTCACTACTGGCACCCTCAGACGCCGGCCTCCCACCACACACACCCACTCTACACATTCTTCAGCACATACATCCTCATCTGCCTTAACACCACCTCGCAACAATCATTCTTCACTACGATCCATCTCCACCAAAATTTCACCCAGAACATCCGTCAAACGTCCATCTTCCGTCAAGAGAAATGGTTCAACAGCATACAGTAAGAATGGAAGTGATCACAGGTACAGCATGGGAACATCACGAACTACCATGAGTACACTATTTTCTCGCCTCGTCCATTGCTTTAGTAATAGTGGCTTAGAGCTTGACAAGACAAGACCCCAGGAGGAGATTGTAATAAATAGTCCCACTAAACCAGTACCGACAGAAGCCACGCCTCCTCAGCGCCACGCCTCGTCTCCTCGCCAAGAGTCATTTTTTAGTGAAACATTGCAAGAAAAATCTTTACACAGCAACAAGAATGGGACTTTGTATAGGCCACAGTCATTAATTATGTTACGTCCAGAGAATCGTGGATTTGTTTCAGTTAATCAGCCGTCCAATTCCAAGGATTGTAATGTGGATCAGTTTCCAGGTTTCCTCTCGAGTAATATTATGTCACAAGACTTACCGGAAGCTGCCACACCACAATCTTTGATACCAGGCAGGTCTCTGGGATCCCTCATGCTACTGACGGAGGGTAAGGAGGGCGATGACTCTTCCTGGCACTTTGTTCGTCCTCCCCCTGATGGTCGAAGTGATCCAGTGAATGAAGAGGAGGAGAAGGTGCTTGAAGCAACTGACCAGATCATCCCACTAGCACACGTGGAACACAAGGACAGTATGAACCCAGTAATTGAGTCCGTGAGAACAGAAGCAGCTTTAAGGAGTGGTGACTGTGTTGTTCTTGCTGGACAGCGAGTAGCAACAAAACACTCTATTATGTTTTCGGGACAAGGTAAAGGATCACAGTGGGCAGGAACTCTCATCAGAGCCAACAGTGAAGGACAGGTGGGGTCACCTCACATAAGTCCATCAGACTTACGGAGGTCCGCATCCGTGTTTACCTTGGGTGAGTGGGAGGACCCAAGGTCATCTCTCGCTTGAAGTTAAATACATAACTCTTGTATGTAACATTTAGTCTATCAACTCAGTGAATAAATTCTTAAAGTAAGACAATAAGACTTTATATGAGGGATATTACTGTAACAAACAAGAAGAAACATTCACTCATATTTACTAAAAGTGTTGGTGTGAACTAAGTGATAGTGTTGTGTAGTATACAGCTACTAATACGGTGATGTCTGGTAAACACTGGTTCAAAAACACTTTATATATGTTAAAATACTAAGCAATAGTGTTAGTAATTGTCATGTATTAAACTGACCAACATGAGTGTGAGAGAAGAGCTTTTATTGTGAAGCAAATTGTGGAATGTTCCTCCAACTCTCACTTGTAGGGGAACTGGAGCGTGTGTTGGGTACTGAGTGTGGGTGTTCGGGCAGCATTATGTACTGAGTGTGGGTGTACGAGGAGCATTATGTACTGAGTGTGGGTGTACGGGCAGCATTATGTACTGAGTGTGGGTGTACGGGCAGCATTATGTACTGAGTGTGGGTGTACGGGCAGCATTATGTACTGAGTGTGGGTGTACGAGGAGCATTATGTACTGAGTGTGGGTGTACGAGCAGCATTATGTACTGAGTGTGGGTGTACGAGCAGCATTATGTACTGAGTGTGGGTGTACGAGCAGCATTATTACAAACATTAGTAACACCAACATAGTTCGCCTCTCACGGTCTTACACTCGCATGAAGCATCATGTTATGAATTACTGGATCACCTCGAGGATTTTATATTTTTGACTTGATCTAACAATGAATACAGGGTGCTTGTCTACACTCACAGGCACATGTGTATGACAGGCACATGTGTATGACTGACGCAGGCACATGTGTATAACTGATACAGGCACATGTGTATGACTGATAGTCACATGTGTATGGCAGACGCAGGCACATGTGTATGACTGATACAGGCATATGTGTATGACTGACGCAGGCACATGTGTATGACTGATACAGGCACATGTGTATGACAGACGCAGGCACATGTGTATGACAGACCATGTGTCATTGTGTATGGCAGACCATGTGCTGTATGTGGATTATGGTGTGACCACATGGTGTGGTGCTCACTCATTACACCTCAGGATAAGTTTACAAGAATTGACCCAATACTGTCCTGTGTTGTGCAGTATAATGTATTGAGGATAATTACCGAAGATTGGCCACAAAATATAATGTATTGAGGATAATTACTGAAGAGTGGCCACAAAATATAATGTATTGAGGATAATTACCGAAGATTGGCCACAAAATATAATGTATTGAGGATAATTACTGAAGATTGGCCACAAGATATAATGTATTGAGGATAACTACCGAAGATTGGCCACAAAATATAATGTATTGAGGATAATTACCGAAAATTGGCCACAAAATATAATGTATTGAGGATAACTACCGAAGATTGGCCACAAAATATAATGTATTGAGGATAATTACCGAAGATTGGCCACAAAATATAATGTATTGAGGATAATTACTGAAGATTGGCCACAAAATATAATGTATTACTGGTATATTAATTGGTGCTGTATGTATATAGATGTAAGTGTAGTACATTGATAGTTACTAAGCCCCCAGGTGTTGCCAAGATCCAGTATTGTATTCATAAGTGCTCTAAGTGCTCTAAGTGCTTGGTTCTCTTACTTTATAAGTATTGGCCACAACTGTCATGTCATTTTTCATAAGGGACTGTAAACGTGTTGTTCTGAGTTTAACAAAAAATAGGTCAGTTTGTTTAGCATGTAACAATGAACTAGTCTGTGTGTGCCTCACCAGCAAGTTGTGAATATGGTAGTTGTAGTGCTTGTTATCTTAACACAGATACTGCTAGTGTGGAGACATTAGGTATTACATGTCATTACAGTACTGTATTAGTATTGTGTTCGTGTTGTCGGCCAGCCATGAGTGAATCTCTCTCACTCACTGTTGTCATTCAATATACAAGGTTGGCCCTCTTCAGCTCCCAGACTTTATAGCGTCTACCAGTGTCAGCGGAAAGACCTGTGCTTCGTCCACAGGTCAACACACTCCGGCCCACAACACACTCGGTGATGTGGGCTTAAGAAAGACGCTGTCCTTAATGAAGAAATTTACTCTATAATATAAAACTACGTAGTGTTTTTGGTCAGTACTGGGCATTAATGTATAAGCTAATACTTATTACTACTAATCATCTGACAGTCAGAAACCTTTGTGTGTCACCAACTGTTATTGTGTACAACAAATAAAGTATTATAGTATTATGTAAATCAGTGTTAAGATAATCAGCTCTAGTTTCTTTGTGTATACATGTAATATACATAGTAAATATTACAATGATATTTGTACTGTTTTATTACAAGTTAACCTAACCTAACCTAACCTAACCTAACCTAACCAACCTCAGATACGTAGCCCAAATTAAAATTTTAATAATTTAGAAAATAATTTTCAGAAAGACTGTTGAAATAAATAACTCGCATATCATTATAGACTGTTAACCAGCCAAATAAAAATGATTTTCTGCTTCACTTCGTCATAGTAAATTACTGCTATTCCAAAATACTTGTTAACACTAATATGTCTTGACTCATCCATCAGTAAAGTGTAAGGTTATCTCCAATAGCACTGATTATGTCAGACATAATTGGGGGTATACGGTGTTGTGTACTACAACTTGATCTTGGAGTCTGTGTTAGATGTTCCTCTATCAGTGTAACAGTTTTCTAGTCTCTAGATCATACAGCCACTCTCTTCGGAACTTCTGTGAATATTGAGTTTTGTGCATCTTGCTACGTTAAGCAAAAACTGTTCAAATTAACGTCAATCCTTCACTAGTCACTTGTAAACCCGACTTCCGGCGGGGCAGCAACTTGACAGGAGGTAAACACTAGGTCATTGTACGCAACTTACTAAGGGTTTAAATTGGATTCTTATGTCTAACTTTTATTATCTAATCAATGTCTGAACTCTCACTGGTCCCCAACAAATACTCGAAGTAGACATCGTGTTTCAAACTTTTTAGGCCACTGATTACAAACGGTCTAAGAAAACGTTAGACATTTTCACTGATCAATAGGTCTTAAGAGCTTCTTAATATGCTATAGGTCATAATAGTTGAAGTATTAACGCTGTTCTCTGATGTTCACAAAACACTTCGAATGTACAGTAATTCAAAAACCATACCACAGTACAGGAGCAAAACAGCTCAGGCTGATTCAATGGGGGCTTAGATTTGCTTACGTCACTTAGTAATTACAGACAATTTAGGCGTTCAACATGTACTTACATGATCATGAAGGCCCCAACTACCTGTTCGTATTGTAACGACTCTATCCCCTCCTCACTCTACCACCATAACCATCACCTGCTCCAACTTGACACCAGGAGAAGAAACTGCTTCACGAAGCTACTTGACCCCAGTGAGCACCGATTAAGAACCAGTTTCCCATTTGACTATGAGACCAAGGTATCGAGGCAAGTGTGGCTGTCCGGTAACCTCAGTCTCTTCTCTCCGGCCTACGGTGTTCCTCTTCTCCCGGGGTGTGGTCGGAGAATTGTATTAAGGACTACTACTACTGCTGGTGGTGTTGTGATGGACTACGGCGATAATCCCTGGTTCCTTGTGGTTGGTCATCGTAGCCTAAACTTGCTACCTGAGCTGCCGTTTCTATCAGGTTTTTGTGTTGCTGTAGCCTATATAATATGTGTATTTAATGCATAAAGTAAAAATAATTGGGTAATATTCCGGGGTGAGTTGATTACTGTATCGTCGTTTTACTTGTTTTGATAATTGTATTTGCTTATACTTGCGTTGTGTAATGTACCTAATTAACTATATTAATCAATACTTAATAACGTAAATGTTATTAACTGACTCGGTTTACTTAATAATCTTCGTATCCTTTTCATAACTAAAATTGATTCTTGGTGTGTGTGCTCCTTACTTGATCATCCACGTATTTCAACCCCTAGATTATTCACTCATTATTTTAACTTGTCAACTTTGCCTTTCCTTAATGTTATGGGTAGTGAGGATGGGGGGCGTGACAGTATATATATACATATCCATACTGTCATGGCCCCCATCCTATTTGGACACTTTAACATATACAGTAAAGAGCCCTCAAGTCTATCCGTTTTCTCTGATACGATTAATAAAGAAAACGATTTTATGGCTAACTCTGGAAAATCGGATGTTTTCTGAACTCTGAAGCATCGTATGAATAAGTGTGGGTGTTAATATGTTGACAATAAACTGAAGTTCTTAGATCGTTGTGAGAAGGTGCATCACACAACTAAACCAGTAGGTCTTATAAAAACGTCGTTATATACCCTGACAGTCCGTTCCTCGTAACGATCTTCGAGTGAAGTGCTTCCCCGTTTGGAGTACTGTTGTAGTGACCTGCTCACCCGACAACTCCTCTCCCGTCTTCGCCCAGCCAATCAGCGGCGCCGCTCATCTCACACCTCCGACCTTGATCAGGCAGAATCGTATAAAAAAACCCACAGTGTTGTGACGGCACCGAGTGTGAGCTCTTTCAAGGCCAGACTTAATCAACACTGGAGCAGGTACAGATTAATAATAATAATAATAATAATAATAATAATAATAATAATAATAAACGGTTTATTTATAGAGTTGGAGCCGGTGGCTGAAAATATACAAACTTATATGTGATTTAGACAATGATATTCGTTCAATACATTTACAGGGCTGTACAGTACATAAATCAGAAGTTGTTTATTATTTTAACATTAGATGGGATGGTGCTATTCTTATATCTATTTTGGAGCCAGTACATGCCCAGTACTTGTTGATACATACCCAGTACTTGTTGATACATACCCAGTACTTGTTGATACATGCCCAGTACTTCCCAAAATTGTGTAACAGAGGGCCAGTACATACCAACATTGTTCACTTTTACTTTTATCCTCTTCATCACTGATCGGCTCGTTAGCCGCTTGGGCGGTCGGCCACGTCTCTGTTACGCACTGTTGGCAAGTACTGGGCATGCACCGGCTCCTGAATTAACCTGCTCCAGTGTTGGGCAAGTCTGGTCTTGAAAGAACACACACTCGGTGCCGTAACAACACAATGTGGCAAATTGTTCCAAGAGTTCACAACTCTCACTCCGAAAAGGTTGGCCCTCACAGTTTTCTGGACTTGCGGCTTCTTCAACGTTGAGCTGTGACCCCTTGTGGGGCGAGCGTCCACCAGCTCCAGGTATAGGACGGATATCTGAACGACCTTTTTATAAGACCTAATAATTTAGTTCTGTGATTTGCCTTCTCACAATGGCCCGAAAACTTCAGTTCATTGTCAACATACACGCCCAGGTCCTTTTCGCCTTCAGTCTCATTTAATGCAGTCTTTTCGTCCCGTTGGGACATATGATACGCCTCCTTATCGTTGGTACAACCCAGGTGCAGCCTCTTACATTTCGTAACATTGAATCTTAGCAGCCATTTATTCTACCATTTTTGAAGCTCAGATCTTGTGCAGCTTTTCACAGTCTGTTTGGTTCCTAATTTACTTGAATAACTTGACACGGTCCGCAAACATTTGTATGGAGGAATGTACAACGTCAGGCATGTCATTTATGAAACGAATAAAAAACAGCGGGCCTAATACACTGCCCTGTGATACCCCACTTGTGACGGGTACACATCACGATTTCGTGCCATTAATCACCACACACTGCTTGCGATCATGGAGAGAGTCCCCTATCCACGCTAGGACATTTTCCCGAATTCCGTACCCTTTCAGTTTAATTTTCAGCCTTTCGTGGGATACACTGTCGAAAGCCTTCTTGTGTGGTGATCCTCCAAGCGTTACAGTGTGGAGTAATCATCTCCCAGGTGAGGGGGTCGATTTGGAACTTTTTCAGGTTTGTCTTAAGACTATCCTTATACCGTTTCAGTTGCCGCCAGCGTTACGTTTTCCATTCATTAGGTGACTGTAAAGTAGCTGCTTTGGCAGTCTACTGTCGTCCATTTGGGTAACATGGCCAGTCCAGCGTAGTTGTTCATGGATAATGGTAGCCTCGATGCTCCTACAGTTGGTGTCAGCGAGAATATTGGCATTTGTTTTCTTGTCTTCCCAGCGAACTCGGAGGCTAGAACGTAGACTACGTTGGTGAAAGTTTTCAAGTGCCTCTAGGTGCCCCTGTATGTGGCCTATGTCTCGCGCCATATAGTAGGGTGGGGAGGACCACTGCTCGATATACGTGTAACTTTGTAGATAATCTCGGCTCTCTACAGCTGAAGACGCGGTTTCGGAGTCTGCCAAAGGCTTGAGATGCACATCTGATCCGATTATGAATCTCTTCATCGATGTCCGCGGTGGTGGACAGGTGGGAGCCGAGATACTGAAAGTGGGTAACATTAGAGAGGGTAGTACCGTTAAGCTGGATGGATGGTGAAGGTGTTTCTTAACCAAGGAACAGGCTGAAAGAAAATCTGAGTCTTCCGTACATTCACCTAAAGGCCAGAGTGTGCATACGCATCTGCGTAGGTGTTCAGGATCTCCTGTAGGTCGCGTTCAGTGTGAGCGACAAGGGTGAGGTCGTCTGCATACTGAAGCTCGGTAATGGAAGCTGCGAACACCTTTTTCCCTGCCTGGAGTCGTCTTATGTTGAAAAGACCCTTCATCCGGTACTGGATGTCCCCCCCGCCGGCTAAATTGGCGCTGGCAGGAGTAAGGAAGGCAGCCAAGAAAATGGAAAAGAGAGTTGGTGCCAGTACACACCCTTGTTTAACCCCCGTTTGGATGGGGAAAAACTCAGACTGGGTGCCATTGTGCAGATCACTGTCGTTCATGCCATTGTGGAGTTGCCTCACAATGGCAATGAATTTTGGTGGGCAGCCAAATCGGCTGAGGGTCCACTAGAGGGCTTCCCTGTTGACTTAGTTGAAGGCCTTGGTTAGGTCGATGAAAGCCATGTACAGATCACGATGCTGTTCTCTGCACTTTTCCTGTATCTGGCGGGCAACAAAGATCATGTCAGTGGTGCCACATGATGGTCTAAAGCCACATTGAGATTCTGGGAGGACGTTTTCCGTCTCGGGAAGAAGTCTGTTTAGGAGGACTCGGGCAATAATCTTGCCAGCTACGGACAGCAGCGAGATCCCGCGGTAGTTGCCACAGTCTGACCGGTCTCCCTTGTTCTTATAAATATTAACGATGGAGGCGTCTTAAAGAGCTTGGGGGATTTCCCCCTTTACCCATATATTCTCCAGGAGAGAGTGGAGACGGCTGGTAAGCAGAGGTCCTCCTGCTTTATACACCTCGGCTAGGATTCCATCAGGCCCTGAGGCTTTGTTATTTTTCATCTGT